ACATCCCCTTCACAAAAAGCTTCATAAATTCTTCTCAATACTTTTCTTTCAAAAATATTCAGCAGCGCTGCTATTTTTATAACTGTGCTTATACAAAGGGTCCATGTCTCCGCTGCATAAGTCACAATAGGTCTTACTAAAGTCTTATATAATCTTATCATGGTTTCTTGTGACAGAAGCGATGATCAAAAAAATTGTAGGTTGGCATAGTACACCCGGTTTCCAGCCATGATCTTCTTGTACACCTCAGCAGCAATTTTATTTTCAGAATTCACTTCCACCGTCAGGTACATGAATTTTTTGACACACTCGAAGCTGAGACCACATATTTCAATGCTCTGAGGACCAGTCTCATAGTTGATTCCGAAATGCATGTATTTTGTCTTATTTTGGTTAATTTCCAGCCCAAAATTTTCACTTTCGGCTTTCAATATTGCAAATATTTCCTTTATTAAAGTCAAATTCCTGGTAATTAGGCATATATCGTGTGCATAAGCACCATTGCGTTAAGTATGCAACCAGGCGAATCCATTTTTTTCAAAACATTAATAAGTGCAATATTAAATAATGTGCAGACAAAGCATCCCCTTGCCTAAACCCATTGCCCTTAATAATCACTCTTGCATTGCTATTATTGATTGTCATTTGCAATAACCTTATTAATTTTTTTGGAATTTGGAATTCATGTAAGGCATTAATTAATTTGCTTCTTATAACTCTATCGAAAGCTTGCCGGTAATCTACGAACAACATATGCAAGTCAATCTTATATTTCCAGGCTTTTTGCATTATCAGTCTCCTTAGGATAGTTTAGCCACTTAAAAGTCCGCTTTAAATGGTTTTGTAGCGTCTGGTAGTGGCGCAAGTCTTGTAGCAGGAGCATGAACTACTTGAAGGCTAGGGCCACTACAGTTTTAACAAACACAAACTCTACTTGTATTTGAAGGATAGTTTACTATGAAGTAATTATTGATTACCTAAATTCAATTTTTTTTTATTGCTTTGTATTTAATAAAAAATGTGATACTTAAAAAAGCATAAAAGTTATATTCCCTCCTTTTCTCCTAAAAACCGAACCATGATTTATATAAATGTTTTTGTAGCTTTTGAAGTCTACTATCTATCTCTTCAAAAAAAATGTCTTTAATAATGGAATAATCTCTACATATATGGAATTTGGTTAGGATTTGCAGTCACAGAGTATTTTTAAACAATACCTAGACTGCTATGTATCAGTTATGATTAATGTTTGTAGCTAACTTATTTATTAACAGTGGAGTATGATACATTCCGGCAACACTTACCTCGCCAATATTATTTTTTAGGCTGTATATCAATGAACAAACTCTGCTAAATGCTAGTTTTACAGCCAAGCTCATTTCTGGTGAATGTTCACCATGGACATCTAGCTGCATAAGTTCCATATCTAACCTAGAATATTTTTAAACATAAGTTTCAATAAGTTAAATAAATTTACAAGTAATCTTTAATAATTAATTAACAAGTAGATTGCTCATCCACGAGATAACTTGGGGTTAATATTCTTGCCCAGGACTCAAATTATGAATAATCTCATAGTTTGTTAGGTGTTATATTTTTCACAATTATGATAAAATTTGTAGTGCTGTTATATAATTACTATATATTAAAATAAAAGTTTTAAAATTTTAATATAATTTAATTAAATTGGCTTTTTACTCCAGAATACTGAAAAGTACTGTGCACAGTCAACATGTTAAGTTAGTACAATAATTTATTAGTAATTTATCTAATAATCAACAAAAAAAATGAATATTGTAATGGAGAGATGTTTTATGAAAAGGAACGTACTAATTTCCCTTGAAAGACCAGGTATACCTAGAATAAAGGTATATATTTATTGATTCCTTGGAACTGCTGTTTGCTTAATAGGTACTTGTATAATATAGAACTTCCATTTTAATTATATTATAAACATTTATTAACTTTGTAAATTCCTAAAGAAACTGCTAATATTTTGACCAATATGTTTATGTCAAGTATTTAAAAATAAAGTTGCAAAATTGTGTCTATTCTTCAAATCATTTCTTCAACTAAACTGCATTTATCTGGTTCCATAATAAGCCATATGAGATTCTCCAAGCAAGTGCAAAGGTTGCCAAATATAAAGAACTTCACTATAATTCAAATTCCATGTTATTTTGAAATGAAATCTCAACAATATAGTAGACAGAAATTTGTTCCTGTTCACTACTTTTTGACATAAGGAACTTAGTTCATGTCCGATACTAAAATGGATAATAATAATAAGAGGCTTAGCGAACCCGAAGGTTCGATGACGACTCGACCAATTGCTTATTACACATCTCCCTCCACCGTTCGCCGTCCAAATCCAGTCCCTTCAGATCGGCTTTAATGCAATCTTCCCACCTTCGCTTTGGTCTACCCCTCGGACGTTTACTATTCGGTACACTAAAATGGATATTAAGAAAAAAATTTGACAGTTCAGGTTTTCTGCAGATTAAATTTTTAATAAATCAACTGATGCTTGAGAAATTGCCAGCCAGCCATCCTGATAGTCACACCCAATTAACTCTAAAACTGAGCCTCTATGATTTAAAAACTGCCAGAAATCTTTTACATTACTAATAATTTATTGCACCATGATTATTTGGTAAGTTGGCAAGATGGCCAAACAGGAAATTCATTTTATAGTTCTTTGAAAGATTATAAATAATTTGACTCTGAATTTGTACTGATATAATTTATTATTTTTTTTTGTACATTTTTACAAGATGAGGTACAAACATTATATTCTCTTTGTAAAACAATAAGTCATTTTGAGGTCACCAGATTTGAGGCCAGATCATATAGGCCAATTTAAATCTACCTAATGTTTCTTTTAAGCTATGCTATCCCAAATATACAAAAAGAACACTATACTAAGGTCAAAACAGATCACTACTGCTCCTATAGAAGTTTTTTTTATCTTAATACCATTAAACGTAGAGGTTGAAGCGCAATCCCTAAGTGCTACATAAAGACTTGCAAAGTTGGTTAGAAGATCCAAATCCATGATTTACATGATTCAGGACATGGGAGCATATTTGAAAGAATTGATAAGAATGCTGGTGATGCACTTCGACTTTCAAGTCAAGAACTGTAGTGATACATACTGTAGTGTTTCAATAAATTCTGTAAATCAAACACAAACAATTTTCTCTTTATTGTTCCTAAATACATTACATCACATTGCATTAGAGCTCTTAACCCTCACAAAAACATATGACTAATTACAACAAGATTGAATACTAAATCAATATAACATTGATTTAGTATTCAACCCTTTAACAAAAGGTTAATATACTACACATACTATAGTGTAAAATGCAGCAGGATTAATTAACACAAACCATGTAATTGAAATACTTGTTATACTGGCAGATTCCTGTCATAACAAGGTTCAGGGACTGGCATTTGAAGAATGGATAAAACCAGGGAGAAAATGTTCATAACTTTATGGAGTTATATACCTCAGTCTTTTAGGCAGAGGTACTAGTAATAAATAATAGTCTGTGCCCCATTTCCAATAGAGAAGGGAGTGAAAAACTGACAAATCCTGATATTTAGTGCATAGCAACTATTGATGCTCTAATTGGTTATCAAACCTGGTCGAAGATGGTGGATGAATGTAAAAGAAATTTAAACATTCTGCCAGAAACCATCACGGTAAGGATCGAGTGGGATTGGAACTTGGACATTGGAACTTTTATAATTGTAATGTTATCAATTAGAAATCATATATGATTCTATTTTACCAATTTTAAATAAATCGTCTGTAATTCCTATTTTAACTAATGTACAAACAGAATTTCCTTTAAAGGAAATACTATAAATAATATTTTATAAAGACTGCATCACTAGTACATCTCGTAGTGAGAGAAAATTTTTAAAATGTTATCCAGCTGATTAATAACAAATTTAATCAAAATAAAAGGGACTCAATACCCAATTCAAAACTTTTAGTGGTCCCTAAAACTTCAAATCAAACTAGTTCTAACATAACTTCGGCGAAAAGTATATCTTTCCTTAGCAAATATAGTATACTTAGTTAATTACATACCTTGTTTATTTAAACCTTCCTCTGTTGGACTAGCTAATGCTTATTGTACTCTATAACCAGAATAAATTAGAATTCTTATCACGAATTACTATCCATCTTGCGTTATAATAATTGTGTTCAAAGTTATTAATGCTGTGATCAAAGATCAATTCAAAATTATTATTGGTTCCACAATTCTTAATCAAAACAGACAACAACCACTCATTCAGACTTTTTCCCGGGCAAATTTTAAAAAACAGAAATTACCCGCGTTAACCATAGAACTTAGATTGAGTATCGATAGTCAAACAATTCATGAGAACAATATTGAATCAATTTCGATCAACCGATGTATGTAGCAATGTAGACGTAAATATATTTTTAGTGAGAAATAAAGTGTATGTTCGTTTTATACATCTGAAAAAAAATATGAATTCTCATTTTTATAGCAATCGAAAAATAAAAAAATGTTTGTCTTGATTCGAAGCTTTCGATTTTTTTTTTCTTGAAAAATTAAAATTATCAGTAATATATTTTGTTGTTAAAAGATTTAAAGAAATAACTTAGGAATCCTTGCAAGGCGACAAATATATATATATATATATATATATATATATATATATATATATATATATATATATATATATATATATAATGTTTTCCTCATTGGAGGCACATTGGAAAGGCACACCAATATTTTTCGATTTAGAACCCCTAAAAAAATTTAGTAATAATCGGTGACCCATCAACTGTGACTGGTTTGTCTGAAAGCAAATATATAACCGATTGTCGCGTTGTAGCGAATAGTGAAAACAGATCAGATAAGATCTAAAAGATAAAATTTAATTTGCGCCAGCTTCCAGATGCAGTCGCCCATTCCAATGCAGAGATTCCAAGAGGCATCAACTGGAGGGCCCTCTCAGTTAAGTAAGATGTCTATGACAGCATAAAAGGGTGAGTTTATTTTACTCAATTCATATAACCTACCACTTCATCAAATACAGTCTACTGCCAAAATAAGTCTAATGTTGCCTATGTTGAACTCATTAGAATTATTTGCCTTTACTTTAATTAAATTTGGAAAATTGCCTAAACAGTAACCTCTTCTTGAAGGTCCGAATGTTTTTGGTTAACTACTGTGTGGATTGTCTACTCGTTAGCTGTAGGGGTTGGTCTCACTATAGACAATAGAATTGAGGTGACATGCTCTTTTATATAATTCGCCCTTTCATAAAGCTAGAAATGAGTATGTAAAGAGCTTTCCCCTACTATCATTCAATAAGAATTCCCGAACTCGGACACGGTTTTTACTGGTTCGCGCAAGTAGCGCCATTCAATTTTTTTGAGGGGGGTATTTTTTGCCGAGTTTTTGGTTTTTTGAGGGAGGCACATTTCAACAGGATTATAAATTTTCGGAATGAAAAGTTTCAGAATAAGCACAAGGGAAAGGTGGACGAATGAGCTAATGCATATGCACAGTACCGCGAGTTGCCCGGCAACCAGGTAACCAGATTTATTAGAGATTAAAAAGTAGCAGTTCCCGTTCCGGTGCCGGAGATTTTAAATTTCCCACCCTCACAGCACGGCCCTGGAAAACCTGCTATAGCCTAAAAGGTGAGGTAGAGAACACAAAAAAAAATAAATAAATAAAAATATGACAAGGGGAAGACATGGAACAGACTGTAATGTAATTGTATATGACCAACAATTTTTCTAATTATACTCCCCTTTGCTCTGTTTTTAAGACAAGGTGAGCAATAAAATATCTGGGCAGTGAAGGGAGGGGTGTATATTCTTGTGCCATTGATCTTAATGAGGATGGGCAACCCTGAGCACAACCAAACTCATTAAAACCAGTAGATGATCCAGAATTAAATTTTGGTAGCTAGTTTTTTTTATTTATAATTATGGTAATTACTCTTTAGCTCGAAAGCCCTCCCATCTCCCTCGGCTATCACGCTAGGTCACGACAACCTCAGAGTTTTTTTGCAACATTAAGCTGGTTCCAGGTGACTATTAACGCTAGGATTCAAAATGAACAATTTGAAAGAGTATATAAAGTTATAAAAGAGAAATACCCTGCTTTGGTAAATTGGAATAAAGAGATATTTCAAGTAGACAACGCTCCTGCCTTTCATTCACTCTTATTTTTAAAAATGGAGGACTTAAAAACCTTGCCCTATCCGACTTACATCCCTTAAGTTGCACTCTTTACTATAAATGTTCTTTTCCGTTCAATGGTGCATTTTTTTTATATAAAAAAAAAATGAAAAGAAAATGAGAACTTTTTCACATTGAGCATCATGAACTGGTCTCACAACCAAATTTAACTTCAGGCAGAAATTGAGAGGTACTGGACAAGAGATCATCTCTCATCAACCATGACATGCCAGTGGGCTATACTGTTGCTGGATGATTTTCGTAGTCACATCACTTTCTCTTTACTCATTCTTGACATCTGATAAACAGCTAACTAGCACCCTAAAAAGAAGTATGGAAAATTTTGGGATGAAAATTTTCTGCAAGATAAATAGAGTGGTCAGAGATCAGAGTATTAATAAATAAAGAATAAGAACAAATAAAGAATTGTTTACAAAAACTGATCAATCAATATCTCATGATACAAAAGCAGGGAGGTAAAGATATACAAGACATGTATAATGAACCTATCCATTAAGAAACCTTAACATAATTACTAACAGAAGCAAGGCTATTAAAATGTTAGAGATTAACATATGGAGGTACTCAGTGATTAGCTAGGTCTATTCCGCACAACCTTACTTTTGACTTTAGGCACCATATTCACAACAAAAAGTTTTAACTAAAAGATACTTTTGAAATTAATTTATATAATATTGATATTTATTAATGAGGAAGGATAAGTAAATTTAAAAATACAAAATTATCACACATTTATTTTTATAACCATGATAAAAAAATTGACAAACACAAAAACTAAAGATTTTTCAATAACTATAAAATATGTCTCATTCAGTTGTAGTAATGTTTTGGGCAGCAGCTAACAGCATACCATGCATTTCTTTAGCAAAACTAACTTGAGTCCTTACAGTGCTCAAATACTGAGGATATGTAAGACTAACTAATTCCTGATTTGGTATTGGTTCTGTTCTAGTGGGTGTAACTGTCATAGACAAATACCGCTGACTACTTGCATTCTGGTTCATACATTCAATAGAAGTTTTCTGAAATTAGAAATTTATATAATTAGCATATTTCAAATTAATAAAGTGTACAAATATTTAAAAATAAGCCAAATAAAAAAGTTTAAATAAGTTTAACATTATCATGGTTTTCAAAACATAGCATACCCACCACCGGTGAAGAGGGAACTAAGTAAAGGGAGTACCTTTAATTTCGAGGCCCCACCATACTGCAACAAACCCAATCTTATCAACATAATCTTACGTTTTACCCTCTGTTAATATGGAAATACTAAAGTATGAAATAAAAGTTTATTCCTCTCTCTCTCCCTCTCCCTCTCCCCCCCTCATCATCATCTCAAATCGAATCAAATCATATTTATTTTACACAATAATTATTTCTCAGGTTGGGTTGAGATAACTAACACACATTCCTCAAATATGTAATACAAAGGCATACATTAATTTCCATTCTTTTGTCGAGGTCTACTCTTGGTGCGCCTTCGAACTGTCACTATTTATATTTCACTCACCCTGTTATGCAGTAAATATTCATCTGTATTGTTGTATCCAACTTCTACAACCTTCTCTTTTCTTGTCTTCGTCTAGACACTCACTACTTGTTGGTCTCGATGATCTTTTTTTGCTTGTCGGTCACATTCTACTATTCTCGATCCTCTTTCCTAGCCGGCTATCTAATTACTCTCAACATATGGCACTTGCTTCCCCTTCCATCTGTCTGTCCTTTTTTGACAGTAGCCCGTGACATCACTGCCTTCGTGCCATTATTTAAAATCACTATGTAATATTTATAATACAATATATATATATATATATATATATATATATATATATATATATATATATTGTATGATGATGATGGGAAATCTCAGTAATTTGAGTTCAATTAAAAAGTATATTGCAAAATTATACAATTACTAGCATTTATATATTTAGAGAAATGTTATATTTACTAAAAACATTATATTAAATTTCATTGACGTGTTAATTAATATATAAACATTAAAAAACAATACTGATAATACTCACAAGGTGCAGTTCAATTTGATCACAAATAGAGTAGAATTCTTCCATGCTTTTGTCAAATCTTGGAGGAGTAACATCGACAGGAGGAACATTTTTTCTAGTAAAATAAAAAAAGTTATCATCAAAAGGTTATTTTATGACTTACAATAAGAGTTAGCATTGGATTCATTCCATTTTAAAAATACAATATTTCTAATTAAAATCAATAAAAGCAAGTAAATTTTCATGGTTTATAACGGTATTTAACTGACAGATGTAGGAGGGAATGATTTGCCAGGGAACTCAAAATCAAGAAAGGGATGATCTGTATGCCAAGGTGCAATGAGCAGAAGCAAATAAACCTGAAGAGCAAACATTTAGAAAATCTTATGATGGTATGCAAGATTGAATTAATTTATAACAGAAGAATCCTAGAATAAAGAATAATTTATCATGGTATTGTACAGGAATTGAAACATACTACAAAAAATATAGAGTAAAAAAAGATGAACAATTAAAGTAAACCTTAATGGTGAATATAATGATTATGAGAACATAATGTGAAATATTAAACTCTAACAACCTGAGATAAAACTACTTACAGTGATCCAACATCCACTAAACTGTTTTGATGTAAAGTTTGGGCGGCTGTTTTTAATGTTGCCTGAAATAAAAAATGTACATTTGATCAATTTAAATAAAAAAGTTAAATGAATATACATTAAATTCAATCTACTAATCTTTTCTAGTACTAATATTATTCCTCTAAAGTTATAGCAAATAAAATGTTACAGCCACAGGTACAGAGCATTTGTTTTTTTACATCCAATAATTATTAATATATTCAAATATCCGTAATGCCGAGTGCGGTGGCTGGTAAATTTGTCTAATGTTCTGTAACATCTAAATATGTGGCTATAACATAATCCATATTGGCTGAGTAGTGAGGCCACTACCATTATTATATATATAAAGCACAATATCTTGATTAAGCAATCAAAAAAATTTAGATGCTTAATATTTAAAACATTAAGTAACTCCTTATAAAAGAAAATAGAGTTATAGTCCGCGGTAAAGATCACTTTTTATCAAATTATTAACATCGACCTGAAACTTCATAAATAGATTCGTCTCATTGTAATCTACAAATATTTTATTTATGAAAATTCTTAGAATTAGAACATTTTCAATCTCGAGGTCATCCAGCTTTGTATATTTAATTAGGTAATAAAAATTTGTATATGTTCATTTGCTTTCCACTTGGATAGTGAGGTAATTTGATCATAAAATCAATAAAAACGGTGGTATACGAAAATATTGGACCATTTCACCTATATAACCTCGTTATTTTGATATTTTGGGGGTGTAGGTCACGCCAAATGGCCCAATAATTCTATATTTCACGAAGTTTTAAAAGAGAGTGTCTATGACATCCCTTAGACTCTCTCTAACTCCAAGGGTATCTCTTACTATCCTGTTCCTCACGCAGTCTCGTCTCGTCTTTCCAGCAACTCTTCTGAGATACCTCATTTCTGCTGACGTCACTCATGAGGCATTCTTGTCCAAGAGTAACTTGTAACTTGTCCACTATTTTCATGGTTCAAAAAAAAAAAAATAAATAAAATAAAATTCTCCCATTTATATTACTGGTACTGGTACTAGTGAGGGCAACTAGTCCTGCAAGTGGACCTATTATGGTCCTTTTTGCCATTCCCTGATTGATACCTTAAGGTTGCTACCGCATACTTAGTAAAGTGGGAATGTCACAATCCACTTCCTGGGGCCATTGAGAAATGAAAAGTAACTGACCCAGGTGGGAATCGAACCCACAATGTTCAGAACAGAGCACTCTAGAACCCATGCCCCAACGGTTTCAGGTGAAAAGAAATAATGAATAATATGAAACTCAAGCCACCTAATGAATTTTCATCTGTCAGAAATGTTTCTGTGAGTGGAAGAGTTGGAAACAAAAACTATTTAACTTTTAGTTGGCTACAGAAAAAGATAAAAATGGAAGTCCACTCAATTAAGACATGTAATTATAATAATAATAGTAACTACAAGGAAACTGGTAAGAATTGGATTAAAGGCATACATAATAATATTTATGTAAAAAGTGCAATGAGAGACAAATGCCCAGCATTTGGTAAAATGTGATTTACGGGGTAAATTAAATCATTTAACTGCATGATACAAAATGAGGGAACATATTATTTAAATTCCAGTTTAACCAGACATATTAATGATGTCAAACCATGACGATAAATAGTCCACAACAATCAAATAACAGTAGTAACCAAAATCAAAAAAATCCATACAAACTTTTTGATATGGTCTGGTCAGAACTGGATATGGTATTAAAAGCTCTTTTACATTATTACCTCTACATTTTTCACAAATTCTGCAATTCAGTACAAATTCTTCTATATCTGAGTTAAGATTAGGCAATAGAAAATTTGCCTAGCCCTAGATTGTGTTTTAACTATTTCTAGATGGGGCAATGCAATTTTAACAACATTTCTTGCCTTAAAGATTGAGGTACTAAAAGTTTATTATCAGCAAAAACTAACTTACCAGCAATATGTGTTTCATGTTTTAGCTAATAATAACTTCTTATTAGTTGATTGTTGTGGACTATATATCTTCATGGTTTGATATAATTAATATGTCTGGAAAAACTGCATTAGAGACCATTAAAGTTCTTAAGCCATTATTTGCATCACATGGCATTCCAAATATAATAATATGCAAAAACATGCCATTTGGGTCATTCCAATTTAAAATATTTTGTAAAGAGTAGGATATTGCTCTCGTCTGCTTAATAAGGAACTGTACTGTAGCTCGATATCAACTTGGCCATTCTCTAATATCAGAATATGCCATTAACAGGATTAACAAACAGTTCGTCTGAGATATTCATGAACCGGCAATGAAGGTCACAAATCTCAATGGCAGAAAAGCACATTTTTGCTTAAGTTGTTAATGCTCAGGAAGAGCGAATTCATAATCAAAGAAAAGAAGAAATGGTATGATAGAACAGCAAAGAACAGAAAAAAATGCTTCAGCGAAGGAGAGGCGGTAGTATATAGGAAAGAAAATATTAAAAATAAGAGAACCAGCTTAAAAATGAAGAGGAGAGGTTTCTAATTAGAAATTCTGTACATCTAGAGACAATTCGATCCATAAGAAGGTAGAAAAATCCATATAATTCCCTAATCCATAACTCTGTTGATATTGGTATAGGGTCAGACTCATCTGATAATTCTCCTGATATTCAATGGGAGTCAGATTCACCTCAAATTCCTGAAGCATAACAACAGCCTGTAATGAATATGCCTCAAAAGCATACTGTGATTAAATGATCAGTTGGAAGGGTCAAAGAACCTGACAGACTTACATTAATCTCATATGTACTTAATAACAGATGTAAAAACTAAGGACTTGTAATTAAAATATTTAGTTTGTGAGATTCAATTCAATATTTAAAATATGTTGAATAATACTTAAGCAATATATGTGGTTAAAAAATAATAATATTCTAGGTAAAGTAGTAAAAATGATAAAAAGATTCTCCACCTATGCTGTAGTATATTAATCAATGAAAGTGATTATCTAAATATAATATAATAAAACTAACTGCAAGAGATTCTCTTAATGGACCGATGAGGCTTTTAACTTTCGATATATTATTTTCTTGTGCTTGAGGAGGTCCAGTCATTGGCTGTCCTTGAGAATTTACCATAACAGCATTGACAACAGGTTGCTGTTGCATAGGAACCTGGGTCATCACCACTGGCCCCTGCGGCATTACTTGCGGTATGTTCATTTTCCTGTAAGACAGAAAACATTTTTTCATAGGCCATATATTTAAATAATAATAAATAAACATACAATTTAATAAATTTAATGTACATGATAAATTAAAAAGGAAAACATTACCAAAGCAACATCAATAGGCTGTGTTAACCACTCTTTAAAGTAAAACATAAAAACTAGAAATGTTTAAATTTTCAAAATCACAGCTTGAAATAATTTTGATTTCAATACTGAACACAACCAAGTTAAAAAAAAATTATAATTAAAAAAAACATTAGTCATTCATTAAATCTTGACTATGACATCACCTAGTAAAACAAATCATTACAAAATCACCAAATACTATCACACAGAAAGGTATAATGTTGGCTAATGTTATAAAACTTTAAATCATAAATTTAAAATTAATTATTCACCATCAAAGAAATTATTGTTAATAACCAACAGTAAAACAAAATGAAAAATTGTACTACTTATATTTACCAACACATTTAAAATACTTAAAAACGTATAAAAATACACACTACCTTAACTGAATAAAATACCTCTGACAGAATCTGTCAAAACTTAAAGTAGTCGGCTCAAAATTAAGGTCTTTCGTGATTTGAACCATTCACTCATCTTCCACCAAAGAAGTGTAAATCAAAAGAAAGGAGCATTCTCTTAACTTGGATGAGACCAAACATAATTGGGATGGTTCCGAAACACCCCTACATGGATAGCATAACAGTCGGAACGAAGTGTAAAGGGAAATTCCGTTCTGGTTTGATTCCAGGGACAACACCGCTTCAAGATTCTATCCTCTGTTTTTTTCTAAACTAGATACCTTTCTACTTTAGTAAAAAAAACTGCAATAAAATAATCTAGGGACGGTCTTGAGTTCAGTACTTTTATTTTCTTCTCCCTTTTCTCGTATTTATGGTTATAAGACATTTCCCTGGCCAGGAGGGAGGAGGAGATGCGTTTTTTATTTCCAAAGGTTGGAGGCTGGGTGTGCAACAGGAGGGTCACCCGACCCAAGATTTGATCCTTGGCCAATGAAACAGAATAAGTAATTTATCTGCCATAAGCTGAATTCGCGTCTTGAGCATTGGAAGCTAAACGCCATACCACTGAGCTAACCCACTCCCGATAAAATTATTTGTGACCTTTAGTTTTCTGACAGAAGCAAGTGAAATCATTCCGGGTCCAAAAAGCTCCCATCAGATACATAGAAAGAAGAACCTTGAGATTAAAAGCAAGAGTAGGACGAAAGGTTAGCTATAATTATATATCTAGCAAGACTCAAAGGAATAAGGAGCGAGAAATATGAGTGCGACTTGTCTAAGTACAAGTAATATATTTCGAGGTCGTAACGGCTGAAGGTATTGAAGCACTAACATTTTCGAGTCTAGTTACGGAGTGCGAATTCGATCCATAAATGCGGTTATACATCTAGAACATCCTCCCTCTCCCCATGTATGCCAAAAATGGCAAGTCAGAGAGTAATAGAAAAAAAAAACATGTAACACAATTGTTAAAACCAAAACAAACCTTTTAAATATAATGAATAATAATATCCTAAAGCAAAGGCTTTTCGAAATTGGATAATTAAAGTTATTTTAAATTGCTTTTTTAAACAAGAACATTGTTTAAAGCATGCCTTGATTCTATTGATGAAACATTCTAAAACATGAATTATTTTAACGTTGCTATGATTGAAAATAAATTGATAACAACTGAATTTGTTCAAGACTCTTTCATGTAAAAATATAATTTGTAACTCCGCCAATTATCCTCTCGAGGGGAGTTGCAGGTCCCAAGCCCTGGTAAAGGAGGAGGGGTCCCCACTGCAGCCAGAATGGGTGTACCTTATTGGAAAAGCACCATCTCTGGTCAGTAGCAGCAGTTTGACATCTACGTTGTGAAGTAGTGGAGGAGCTGGCAAGACAGCTCTGATGAAGTATCCCTTCTATTTGGCTTTGGGAGCAATGGGCTCATAACTCGCTTTCCCGAGACAAAACAAACAATGAAAAGTACAGAAAGAAATAGAGCCGATCAGATTTTATGGCAACAGACACGGCGTGGAAAACGGATCACACGATTGGGCACATGGAACGTTAAAGGCTTAAATGGAAAAGAAGTAGAATTGGTCGAAGAGAAGAAAAGAGTGAGGATAGCCATCCTAGGGATAACAGAGACTAAGAAGAAAGGAAAAGGAGAACAGAGGATAGAAGACCACATATTATTATATGCCGGAGTCAATCCGGGAGAACATGGAAAGAGCGGTGTGGCATGCTTATTTCACCAAAACTTGGCTCACTGTGTAAAGGACTGGAAGGCTGTTAGAGATAGACTCATGCGAGTGGAAATATGTAGCGGAGGGGTCCCATACTCTCTACTCATAGCATACGGACCAAATGATAATACCACTAGTCTTGAAAAGGAAGCATTTTTCGACTCTGTACAGCGTGAGATCGATTTATGCAAAGGCAAACCAATAATTATGGGAGATCTGAATTGAAGAGTAGGGAAGGACTCGACCAAATGGGGTGGCGCATTGGGACCAGATGGTGAGGAAAGTTGCAACGACAACGGCAAAAGAATTCTTAACCTTTGTCTTGCAAGTGATATGATAGTTCGAAAAAGCTTCTTCCGACACAAAAAAAATTCACAAATATACAAGAGAGGAGCCAAGTATAAATGAAAGGTCTATTATCGACTATTACCTAATACAACGAGAACAAAGAAAACACGTAGTAGATATGAGAGTCAAATGAGACTACAAAATAGATAGCGACCATCGGCTACTTATAATGGATATAGTGCTCAATAACCGCGCAACCACACCAGGAACGTCAAATCGGACAAATAAGTTCAAAATAAAATATTTCAAACTCAGGGAGCCAGAGGTGATACGGGCATATCAGGACTCGATTGAAGAAAAGGCGAATAGTGGAAGATACAATTGGGACAGTGACAACGTAGAAGAATCTTGGTCGGCAATCAAGATAATAATACTGGAGGCAGCGGAGATGACATGTGGAAAAAGCAAGCTGGGGCATAAATCAAAGAAAACTGCTTGGTGGAATGAGGAAATTAAAGAGGAAATCAAACAAAAGAAAACCTTATGGAAGAGATACCTGCAAACCAAGTCAGATACTCCGTATACAAGGAGCAAAGACGGAAGGTGAAAGAGGCCGTGATGAGAGGAAAGAAAAAGTCCTGGGAAGAATTTGGAAAAAAGATGGAAACTAATTATAAGGAAAACAAGAAACTTTTCTACCGAAGCCTCAGGACCAGGAGGAAGCAGAAGGAACCGGTGCTGAAGCACATCAAGGACAAAAATGGAAACATCATGAGTAGGCCAGAAAACATTATGGAAAGATGGGCGGAATATTTCAAGGAATTACTCACATATCAAGAGCAGGAAATGGAAGCGAAACAACAGTCTAGCAGTACAGAAGACACCTGGGAAGAAGACGACTTCATCGGAGAAGAAGAAGTTGCCGAGGCCATAAATTCATTAAAGCTGGGAAAAGCGGCTGGTATAGACGGAATTGCGCCAGAAATGCTGAAAAACGTGGGTTTAAAAGGAATTGAAGTGTTGCAGCACCTCCTTAACGTAGTTTGGAAAAATAAAGTTATCCCAAAGGACTGGGAAGTCTCCATCATAATCCCGATTTTCAAGAAAGGAGATAATCGTGAATGTCGGAACCATCGGGGCATATCCCTACTCTGCATCCCCTACAAAGTTTATTGTAAGGTGCTCGAAAAGCGGTTGAGAAGCCTCATAGAACAAAAGATAGGGGAAGAACAATATGGCTTCCGGCCTAACAGAAGTACACAGGACCTGATATTTACGATGAGACAGATATCCGAGAAGATTATAGAAAAGAGCAGAGAGGTCTTCGCCTGTTTTGTAGATCTAAATAAAGCGTTTGACAGGGTGCAGAAGGCAGATATATCAAGAGCATTGGAGGAGTGTGGCGTTCATATAGGATTGTGTAAAGCCATCCTAAGTGTATATGAAACACAGAGAAATGTAGTTAGGATGTGCAACCACACATCAAAAGAATTCACAACAGACCAAGGAATCAAACAGGGATGCAGCCTTAGCCCCCTCTTGTTTATACTAGTGCTGGACTCTGCCCTAAAACAAGCAAAACAGAAAATGAGGCCATACAACCTCGGATATAGGAACCTACAGAGCGTCCAGTATACAATGCTTGCTTTTGCTGACGATATGGTGGTGTTCGGAAATGACTGCCGTAATCTGCAGTTTAACCTCAAGATCCTTCAAGCTGAGATGAGAAATATAAACATGGAAATTAACATCTCGAAACAAAATTTATGAGGATTGGGAGAAGAAGGAACCGAGGAAACCGGATCGTTCGGTTGGGTGGAATTCGCCTGGAACAAGTTAAGGATTTTAAATACCTGGGCGTTCACCTTAACGAGTTCCGATGGGTTGATGGAAACATTAAAGAGAGAATTAAGACGGCAGGAAGATGCTTCTACTACCTCAAGTCAGGCTTCTTGGACAAAAAGGAAATCTCAAAGACCACTAAGAAGATTGTCTTTAGGAATACTTTCCTCCCTATATTGACATATGCAAGCGAGTCTTGGACCCTCACTGCCAAGCACAAAAGCCAAATCCAAGCTATGGAAATGCGCTATTTAAGGAAAATAGAGGGGAAAACAAGAAGAGATCGAGTTAGGAATGTGACCATACGGGGTAATCTGAACCTGAGGCCTGCTGAGGAGATAATCCAAGAAAACCAACTTAGGTGGTTTGGACATATCTCGCGAATGGCTGAAAACAGAATTGCTAGGGCTACCTACGAGGTCAAAGTGGAGGGAAGGAGGCTACAGGGAAGACCAAGAAAAAGATGGGAAGAAGGAGTTAAAGAAACCTTTGACAGGAGAGGAATGGACTGGAGTAGGAGAAGACAGCTGGCACAGGATAGAGATTCGTGGATCAGGCTCTATAAGAAGGAACCTCACACTGCTCAGCGGTAACAGAGGACTGGATTAAGAAAGAAAGAAAGAATATAATTTGTTCTATAATATTCTTTGTTCATGTAAAAATCATTAGTTCTACTTCTCCCAGTCAGCAATAAATCTAACCTGATTATTATGATAACACATCTAGAGGTTTCATAAGTTAATTTAATTTTTCTTCAAAAAATGTAATTTTGTGATGACAGCTGATAATAAAAACATTATGAGCTGTTTCATTTATATTGTGTCTAATGTTAATCAATGTTAACACCTAGAAAATAGGTGGTTATACTGTTTTTTGTTTAATGGTATTTTTTTGTTTATTTCGTTTTAAAATGGACCAAGTACTTGCAAAAGAGTCCTCAAGAGATGAAGAAGTTCCAATTGATGCCAAGGAAGCATCAGATGATGAACAAAATCCTATTGAGGTTTCCAAAGACAATAAGCTATGTGTTAATGAAGAAAAGCTGAATCGTTCGCTGGAAGTTATATTAAGTCCCTCAGTCAGAACAAAGGAAATTTATAAAGCATTAACATTTATTCGAACTAAGGTAGTAGAAGATGTGGATGGAGTAAAACTTTTACATAAATTAGGAGGTTGTAAATCTTTAGTCAAAGTGCTATCTAATAATAATGAAGATATACTCAATATCACTATTAGTATTCTTGGAAATTTGTGTAATCATTTAATAATGAATGAAGATTTTCGAGAAGAGGTAACTTTTCCAAACAATATATTTGTTAAATTTATTATATGCCCATTGTTCATTATACCACTTTATTTTTACTTTTTTTAGATTACAAAAAACAAAGTTGCTGGTCGCCTTGTTTCAATTCTAAGAAAAACAGCTAAAACATCAATACAGAAGCGATTATGTCGTTTCATTGGTAATTTAGCTCAGAGTCATTCAATAGCAAAAGATTTACATTCTGCAGGTGTTAGTTTAGCAATTGTTCATGTTTTAAATACAACTGAAGATTCAGAAGTACAGCATATGGCAATCAGAGCTTTGAGGTTGGTTATGATTTCTTATTTTCTTCATCTTTTCTGTTTCTGTTATAACATGTATAACTCATGAGGGCTGTAATTTTACTGCTGTGACATATGCAACATCTTATTTAAATTGAAAGCCTTATAAAAATTTGTATTAATACTTTTCATGGCTTTAATGTCAAACATGTAATCTGTAATCCACAATATTACCGATTACAGTATTTATTTAGGTAGTGAAGTTAGACATTAAAGTGTTAACTTATAAATATTATTTTATTAAAAAGAAATTGGTTTTCTTAGATTTATTTTATTTTTTTATATTATTTTACAATGTCCAAATTGTATTCTCAATTTGCTGGTGGTTGCAATTTAAATAATAGAAATACAGGCACGGATAATTATAAATTTTATTTTAAAAAACATTTCTCTGTAGAAATCACTAGAATAGGCTATTCTACTTAGGAATCCTAAACACCACAACTTTTAAAACAGATGAAAGAGTTTTAGAACTAGAGGGGGCTCAAAGAAATCAAGTGAGATCCCACTTTTGGTCTCTTATAATTAATTCATAATTAATTATTAAGCTATTGGTGTTATAACTAAAGTATTGAGTTTCTTGTATAGTGTAAGTTGCCAGAAACCTCACAGTTAGAAAAGAAAAAAAAGAAAATGGTTAGAAGTGTTTAGATGTGTCATTAGAAATTACAATTATGTGAAAATAAAAAATTAAGAATATTATATGTTAGTTAATGATCGAGGAAACTTATACAGAAGGAGACCTAGAAATCAGCGAAACAAAAAGCTAGTATGGCATTCAACAATAGTGATAACTTCTTATTAAATGTTGGCGAATGGGATTTGGCCCCTACTGAGCAATTTAAATATTAAGGCAGGTGAATTTCGAAGGAGAGCAACATCATCGATATAAGTACTGTATTATATACCTCAGAAACCTGGACAATTTCAACCAAAGACTCAGCAAGAAAATTTTCATCACTGGAGATACATTTTCGGAGACGTAGCTGTAGAATATCAAAACTACAACATATTCTAAATAATATTATTAGGGATAAAGTGAACAAGAACAAACCCCTCAACACCCTATACTCCATTGAGACAAATAAGCTGAATTGGTTTGGGCATGTGATGAGAATGACGGACAACTGATGGCCTAAGAGAATACTTCATTCAACAGTTGTCATTGGAAAGGAGGAAAAGAGGTCATCTGGAAAAGAGATGGTTGGAAGGTTTACATGAGGCTATAACAGTAAGGGGACTCCAGGAGGAAGACTGTTATAATAAAAAGAAATGGCGACAGGAATTAGGACATATGACCTTAAAGTTTTATATATATATAGTTAATAAACCTGATCCATGATGCAGCTCATAGTATTGACCTCCACTAAAAAGGGAAGGTTACGGACGTGGAATCACCGATTTCAATGAAACTTTTATTGTTGATACTAGGTCGAAAAATATTAGACCTATGTCTGAGGATTCTTGTCAATGCGCTCTCAGAAAAAAAAAATTATTCTAATTTATTTGCAGGATTCTGGTTTGTGCCATTTTGTATGTATTATAGGCCCCCAAATTCATGCTACTTTTCATGTGAATAAGTGGAGCCATGTCAAAGTTATCACAACTTTTGTGATTTTCAGAAAAAAAATTTAAGACTCCAGCTTAGACTAAAATTTTAAGCAAAAAATTTTCTATTAGTATGAAAATTCATATTTAAGAGTTTTTCGAGACGTGAAATACAGATTTCAACTTTGTTTATCCTTAAAAAAATATTTGAACCTACATTACTCCTTAGGTCAGTACTATTTGTTTCAATATTGAATATATACTATAGCAGCTGTATGCTAAATATATATATATTTTCTAAACAGGACAGGTATTAAAAGTAAGATTACTTGCACAAAATCTAGTATTTTGTTGAAATTCAACCCGAAAATAAGAATAATGTATTTATTGTACATATTACACCATGAAATATATTTCTTTGGGATAAAAAAAAATATATTCATTTTTCACACCCCTAAAAGCCTGTAAATAAGCATTTTGGTTGTAATCGAACAATATAAATTTTTAGCTCAATATTCTTCCTTATATTAATAGCACTTGTGAGATCCATCTATGTTAAAAGCCTTATAGTAGATATTAAAACTGTTATATGTATATTTAAATATTACGAAAATTTTCATTGCAATCTAAAAATAAATGTATTTTGTTTTTCTCATATCTACTATAAAGCTATAAACATAGATGGATCTCACAAGAGGTATTAATATAATGCAGAATAATGAGCAAAAAAATTATAATTTATGATCACATATATATATATATATATATATATATATATATATATATATATATATATATATATATATATTATATATATATATATATATATATATATATATATATATATATTTTAATACTTATATATGTGCATATATATATATTTTAATACTTATATATGTGCATATATATATATTTTTTAATGGCAGAATATTGGGCAAAAAATTTACATTTTTCAAATGCAACGAAAATACTTATTTAAGGATTTTTAGAGGTGCGAAAAATTAATATCATATTTTTTACCCCAAAAAAATATATTTCATGGTGTACAATGTACAATAAATGTTTTTCTCTTATTTTCTGATTGAATTTCGACAAAATGCTTGAATTTATGCATATAATCTTACTTTTGATACCCATCTGGTTTAGAAAAAAAAAATATATTTGGCATACAGCTATAGTATGTATTCAATATTGAAACAAATAATACTGACCTAAGGGGTAAAGTAGGTTCAAATATTTTTTTAAGACTAAACGTAGTTGAAATTTGTATTTAGGACCTCGAAAAACCCTTAGTAGAAATTGTCATATTTATAGAAAAATAAAAATTTTTTGCTCAAATTTTCTGCCTAGGATTTCTTACATTTTTTTCTGAAAATCACTTCTGATAATTTCGACACCGCTCCACTTATCCACACAAAAATTAGCATGAATTTGGGGCTCTATAATATACACAAAATGACAGAATCCCGCAAATAAATTAAGCTTGGAAATAAAAAATAAAACTGTTTAGGAACTTTTTATTTATTTATTCCTTAGGAAAGCGTGAAATATCAAAGTTATCGATATAGTTTTAAATAGAAATAATTTAACTTTCCAACGGTTGTAGTAATGTCGACTTAGGAGAAAAACCTGAGGAGTTATGAATATTTTAGTTTATTTAAGAATTTTAGTGAACTCTAAAAATGAATCTGAATAGTTTTTTTATGACAAGAATGTACTTTACCGGAAGTGTTTGTGGGTTTTTGTAATTTATTATATATAAGAATTCATTTCATGCAATAAACAATATGTTTTTCTTATTTTACATAAAAAAACTAAGAAAATTCTAAAAAATATTTTTTTTCTCAGCTCTTAAGGTGCATTGGCAAGAACCTTCAGACATAGGTCTAATATTTTTTGACCTAGTATTACCAAAAAAATATTACATTGCAATCGGTGACCCAAAGCCCACATCTGTAACCTCCCCTTGTAAGTCCTGCCAGTCACATTGAGACCTCCATTAATCCCCATGAGCCATAGCTTGTGATGAAAAGAATTAAGTTGTTCTATAAATGACACTTCAGTTGTGATAATGAGCTTTTTAAGAGAAGCAACTAATGCAATAAAAATTGTTGTAACATCGTGTTGGAGTGATTTTCTAAGTTTCATATTTTTTAAATAATTTTTAAAATTTTGCCATGTAATCAAAGAGACGTTGGCGGGCTTGGAAGTGTTTGGGGGCAGTAGTTTGGAGACCCCTGGTATAGATAAAGGATCATTCCATCATTGTTTGTTAATTACTATTTAACTAGTTTGTTGAATATGTCAGTATTGAGATATTACCTATATTCTTACAGATGGCTTTGGGAGGTTGACAAGCATCATAATGACATGTTAAGGAATGGGGTAGTAATGGCTGTTTCAATTCATTTAACTTCTAAAGATGATCTGGTAAGTCTTTCCATTTCTATTACTTGCTGTTTATGTATAAGTAAGGATAGTTTTTTATATATTTATTTTTTTCATTATTATTATTTTATTATTTATCCTTGCAAATATAAATACATGTTTACTGGGCGAAAAAACTATGTAAATACCCACCTTGCATTTTATTACGTTAATTTTATCATCTTCAGATAATCTTTTTTTGTTTCTATTAAATCATTTTATTTAATAATGGAAGCATACTGTTTTCATTTTAAATTAAATAATATGATATCTTTCTGATCTTTAAATTGATATCTTCTTGTTCTTTAAATTATTTTGTTAGACACATGGCACAAGTCTGTAAACATTGTAATTATTTTTATTACATAATGTTGAATTGTTGGTCATATTTTGTATATAATATTAAATTAAATCTTACTACCTTTGCAGTAATTTCCCCATTCTTCCACTATTACTTTTTTAACTATATTGTAAATTATAAGATTATTATATTTATGTAAATTTCAAGTATGTTATAAATTCTAAGTGTATGTCATTATTAGAGCTAAAAAGCATTGAGAAAGAGAAGAGAAACTGTATGAGACAGGATAGTGAAGACAATTTTATATAGAAGTATTCTGTCGTTTCTTTTCTGATCTTCATTGTTTCTTCTTGATTTTTTCTGTTTTTTATTGTTTGTGATTTTTAATAACACATCCTAATACATATAAATAATGCACAACTGTGCATTGTTTTGTTTTATTTTCATCTATTGATCTCAGATACTAACATTTTGTAGATGTAAAATATTATCTGTATTTTACATTAGTTTTGTTGCTTACTGATTATTAATTATAATTTATAATAGTTAGAGGTTGTAATCATAGAGCAAAATAAAAAAAAATTATTTTTCATTGCGGTTGCAACCATCAGCCGACTTCGCGACTAATGATTATTAAAATTTGTTCATTGTTGCTTTGATTATCACCATAGCCATAAGTACTCTATTTTTCTTTTAAGTAAATTTATTGAAATATTTATCAAATAGATAATGTTGAAAACTATATATTTATGTTGGAGTTCAAGGTTTTAATTTTAAGGAAATTAAGTAATATATATTATTATTTATAATTATGAAATTAGAAATTTGTTAAGAAATAAATTTAATTTTAGGTGTTGAAGGCTGTATTACGCACACTTGTTAAAGTTACTCAGCATTACTCTATTTACACAGCAGAACAGGTAAATATTTTTTTTATTTATTTTAGTTTTCTTATACTAACAAGAAGGGGTTTTATGGACATGGGATCACTGTTTTCAATAAAATTTTGGTGATACTAGGTCGAAAAATATTAGTCCCATGTTCGAAGATTCTTTCCAATGTGCCTCAGGAGCCGAGAAAAATATATTTTATAGAATGTTAACATATATTTTTTTAACCAATCTAATTATGCACTCTGAAGAATTTCATAGCAGATATGGTAAAGATTTCGTTTTTATAAAATGGAAACAAAATAACAAATTTAAACATATTTTGTTAAGAATTGCTGGAACTGATCCTAAAATTGGTATGTAGGTATATTACTTCTCTTCAAGTACATACAAGGTGTCTGGTTTGTGCCATTGAAGGGCCCTAATTTCATGCTAATTTTCTTGGGGATAAGTGGAGCCATGTCGAAGTTATCACAATTTTTGTGATCTCCGGAAAAGATATCGAAGGCTCCTGCCAGCAGGAATTTTGATTAAAAAGGTTTTATTTTTCAATTGGTATGAAAATTTGTATTTAAGAATTTTTCGAGGTGCAAAATGCATATCTCATCTTCATTTCTTCTAAAAAAAAAAAATACTTGAAATCACTTTACTCCATAGCTGAATAATGATTGTTTCAATATTCTACTCATACCATGCCAGATTTATATTTTTTTCTAAGCCAAATAATATCGAAAGTTAAATTATATGCACAAAATCAGGTATTTTATTGAGATTTGCTCCAAAATAAGAATAAAACATCTATTGTACATATTATACTATGTAATATATATTTGGGGATAAACAACAATAATATTCACTTTTTTCACCTCTAAAAACTCTCAAAGAAGAATTTTTGTTGCAATCGAAAAATGTAAATTGTTTGCTCAATATTCTGCCTACTATTTAATAGCTGTTATGAAAACCATCTATGTTTATAGCTTCATAATAGATATTAGTAGAGCAAAATATATTTATTTTTTTATTGGAAAATTTCCTCAATAATTATATATATTTAACAGTTGTGATACCTAACTATAAAGCTATAAACATAGATGGATCTCATAATAGGAGAAAGAATATTGAGCAACAAATTTACATTTTTCGCTTTCGACGAAATTTTTATTTAAGGGTTATGATGTTCATCCAACATCATAAGGATCAATATTAGAGATGTGCATAAACATGTAATTGCATTTTCATTTTAAATGATAATTTTTAGAAAAAACAGTATTTTTTTCTCACATGACTTTCCTAGCAATTCTAAACAAATTTAAAATGTCCATTAAAAAACCAATTAAATCAGATAAATTTTCCTGAAAACAATCAGAGAAATAATCTGAGTACAATTTCTTAGATGAACTAAAGTAACATAAACTAGCAAATGAACCGTCATTAAAATCAGCGTATAAAATACAATACACTGTAATTTCGTTAAAACTAAAAAAAAAAAAGAAAAAAAAAACTCGTTCCCAACATGACAATACTGACAGACAGAAGCAATGGCTGAAAATGGATGCAGGGGATCCAGAAATGTAAAGAATTATTGAAAACTGCATATGGAAATTTCGGCCCAATAGTAATATTTTCCTTACCTAGTAGTGGTAGGAAGGTAATAAAATGCTCTATTGTTGCTAATACTGGTTTAATTGTGATTTTGTTTTTCTGAAGGGAATTCAATTTTCTGTCAAAAGATTCTGTATAAATTTTACTGTAGAACGCATACTTTTTGAATTAAGCTCCAATTTTTTTTTTTTTAACTTTCTCAGAAATTTATTACATGTACAAATGCTGAAAGGACTTTAAGCATAAGATTATAGGAAAGTTTCATCAAAATCATTGGAGCCCTTACAGTCTATAGAAAAACGTGTTTTTCTCTTATTGTGTACTCTATTTATTGCACAGGCTAATCATAGAAGACAAAAAAGAAGCAATAGAATCAGTCACTCGTTTTCGAGATAATCTTCAGAGAGATAGACCAATGGCTAAAAATGTGTTTTTCAGACTCATTGGCTTCAAACATCAAATGGGTAAATCAATATGATATGATAATCTCAGAAATTGAACCAAGCTTATTATATCATATTGACTTACCCAATATTTTTTGGGAGAATAAAATATTGCTGAAGAGAGGGACACAGATTTCCCGAAATGTGGAATAAATAATTATCAGAAGTTAATTTTGATTTATATTATACTGACCTATCAGGCACACACTTATGTGTGAACAGATATTATAACGCAAAAGTCAAAAATTTAAAAACTATGGAAAATAAATAGTTTTCATTCATTTTTTATTCCTCTTATATTTATATAACATACATGTATCAGTGGGTTGTACATATTCATGTAATTTTTTTTTCTGTCAGATTACTGGGAAAGGTACAGGATATAGTGAAATAGTTTCGAAGATTGATATGCCAGTTGTTCCTGTTTTAATATGTAATCTGAGCTATGATCCTCGTGCTCGTATTGAGCTGTGTAAAGCTGGAGCAGTTGAAGCTATAATAAAACTACTGGAAGAAGGCAAAACCAACTCTTGTATGTTATAAAGAATTTGTTTTATTTTAATATTAAATATTTTAAAATATAGTGGCAATAATATAATTTCTATTTTTATTTTTATAAAGTTGTTGTTTCTTATTTTTCAAAAGTAATAATTATTCAGTGAGCTTAAAGCTAATAAATAACTTTCTTGTTTTAGTTGTTACCTGGTCAATGTGTGTAATCTTTTTTGTCTTAGCATAGTTATTTTTCTATATATCTTGGTAAGGAGGTCAAGTCTACTATATGATATGTATTAGCAAATAAAACAGTTTCTATGAAGAGAAGAATAGTTGGGGTGGTCAGTCAAAAAGGAAGGCAAAAATAAATGATAATATTTATTTTTACATATAAATACCCAACTATTCTCTTCATTATCCAATTCGTCAACCAATTACCAATTATGAAAACAGTTTCTATGTTGTTGTACTTCTGTAATTAAGGGGTACTAAACAGACTGGTGCCAATATTCAATTTTATTTAAACTCACCCCAGCTAATTTATGATATTGACTGTATTTTATTTGTGTTTTTGTTTTCTACATGTAAAAGAAATACATATATTGTACTTACAGAAAACTAACAATTCCATCAACTAAATTTTTATGTAAGATAGATCCTTATCAAACTATTTATTTTTCTTGACTTGATAACAAATTATGAATTAAATTTTTTGGTACTTATTTAATAGCGGGTAGCGTCCGACTGCTATCTGCCAATGTTTATAATCTTAACACTGATAAGCTCTTCGTATTCATATTTATTGTATTAGATTCATATTATTATATCTTCGTACTCATATTTACTGTATTGTTTTGATATTATTGAAATTGTAAACAAAAACAAAAGTAATAATAAAAAAATACTTTTATTTTACAACATATGTATTAAAATAGACCAAAACATTATAAATATATAATTAAAAAACATTACGAAAACATTGCAACATATATATCAAAATAAATTAAATAAGAAAAAAATAGACAAAAATAGATGAAATAATAAAAACCACTTATACTATGGGACTTAAATTATGGGACACTTAAATTATGGGACCATCCATAAATGAATTTTAAAGCCGTTAAAAAAGAAATCCTCAACCCCTCTAACCACCTTCCTTTCCTTATAGAAACGGTTTTGTTACAACTACGAAAGCATCTCTATTTAATCTTCCTTTCGAACTTCATTTGATGACCTTCATCACAATATTTGACCTTTGCAAATATCTCGGCTTCTTGAAAATATTTTATAGCCTCTTCTTCTGAAGACGGCAATTCCCACAATGTGACAACATCCATAATTAAATAACACTTACTCACAGCTAACACAAGAAACAAAAAATAAACAAGGGAATAGCTTAGGTTAGATGAGATAAGGGAGGTTATGTGAAATGAGATTAGATAAGAAGGGAGGTTTTGACGCTACCCGCTATTAAATAAGTACCAATTTTTTAAATAATCATAATCAATATAATTATTATTACATTTAGAAATATTTGTTTTCAGATTTAATTACTGGTTTGTGCCAAATGTGTCGGGAATCAATGGTAAGGGCAAGTCTAAGGCTTTCTGCTACTGGCTTTAACACGTTACTATCCTTACTGTCTAATAAGAAGAGCAAACATTTCTACCCAGAGATATTAGACGCTATTACTCAATTCAATTATGATCAAGCTAGCTTAATGGTAATTATACAGTAATTTGTCATAGCATTTTATCTATTAAAATATAAAACTCAGGTAAAAGTAGTTGAGATGAAGTGTGGAGGAGAGGTGTGGTCAAAATATAACTGACAATAAAGGTTCGCAGTTTAACATGTGAAATTTCCGCCCACTTTGTAAGCCTTTAAAAATCCAATATTTATTTTATATTTTGTTTTGATGTACCATAACCATCATCTCCCATGATGACCCTATCACTATAATTATTTCCGTTGTGTCTTACTGAAGATAGCTGGTTCAAATATCATCCAAGCTGTATAAGTTTAATTTAGTCGGGCTATTTATCTAGAGAACATGTTAAACTTCTTTTTTCTTAAATCCAAGAAACAAACATTTGGATTGTACATTTAGTGAAGATTATACTTGGTTATAGAATAATTTAATAACATACAAAAATTGTGTAATTGAACTAAATGTGAAGTAATCACCAAAATGAATGTCTCCATGACTCAGCATCTTTAAAAAAGATAATCTTATGGAGTGCTGCCACATGTTAGTGTTAACTGATGTAAGATGTCCATCCCTGTTTTATTTTCACAAATTAAAACTTTTTTCTAGTGAAACATTATTTTTATTATCATATTTTTATTTAAACATCATCTCATTGTTCTGTGGATTCCTGAAAATAAAATCTCTTTCCATATCTAAATAACAGTGCACTGTAAAGCTGTCTCCACAGATGTTTAAATTTTGATAATATATATATTCAAATAAACAATATTTTGCCAAGTCTGATGTTTATTGTCATATTGAATACTGAATGTGTATGAATGGAAAGAAGAAATCTAATAATATATCACTTTACTGACTGATGATTAATCCACGTTTTGTTTTTATTAATTAAGTATGAATCAATAATGAGGTCTTAATAATTTCAGAAAATGGTGCGATGTGGACTTATAAATGTATTAGTGGAAAAATTATCTGAGTATGCCAAAGTTCACTGTTGTGGTCACAGTGAGGCCGTTGCTGCAGAAGCGATGGGACCGCTCTCTCCCCAAAGTCCTGCTTCGTGGGCAGCATCTCCTTCACCACCTCCCCTTTCTCCCACTAATCAACTTGCTTCTTCTCAGGATTATTCTCCTCGCTGCTCTACTCCTAACAGTGACTCATCTTCATCACCAATCCCCTCAGTAAGAGCTTTAATCTCTGTTATATTAATATTTAATAGAAATGTTATCTTTAATGATTTTCATTAATGTATTTTACTTAAGTTAAGTATTACCTTCAGTTTTTATTTCTCTCCACCAGGAAATTAAGCAATTAATTTTTAAAGAAAATTTGTGTTAAATAATTTGATTCTGAATCGAAATTGAATAACTCATAACTTTTCAAATCTGATAGTTTCATTTGCACCTCCCTGGATGTGTGTATATACTTTCTTATGCCCTTCATTTATCTATGTTCGGATCTCTAAATATTAGGTTTTTGATAAAAAATATCAACTAAATAATTTACAATTCAAATTATTATTTTAAATCACAGTCCTTACCTTCGGGTTTAAAAAAATACAATTACCTGCCACTACCAGACCTTGACAGTCTTTCCATGTAATCCTAATTAAAGCACACACACACACAATAAATTTTTATTTATTCCAGGTTATGTACATAGTATGTTCATTATTATGATTTTTTATAATCTTATAAACATTAATATGTTTTTGTTTTATTTTTATACGAAGATCGAACGACCTGATAATTTAGAAAGTCCTGTTGGATTGGATGGCTGTATATTGGAAGTTCTTTCTCGGCTGACTTACCAAGGAATACCAATGCGAGCCCTTGCCAACCGGACAACAGTTACTACTTTTTTGGATTATCTAACTGGTCTTCCTTATCCTCGATATAGAAATAACTTTGTTAAAGCAACACGAGCACTAACAGCGATCGTTATGTATGTACACTGATCTTGATTACTTTTAATTGACTTTACTTTGTATTTGTACTTCATAAATTTATCGGTTGTATAAGGTAGTTGTAAAGGATTTAAGTAGTATTATATATCACATCTGACCTAACCTAACTACTTTTAATGCGTCATATTAAAGGTTTAGTTGTCTGTGTATTATTTGATTGAAATATGAATAGCATAGTGTTTTTAAACTCCAAATGTGTTTTGTTTTTTTTGTGCTAATAAAACAAAATTTGTGAGGAGCCTTATTACTCTGCCATTTGAAGAGCTAAGTAGTTAAAGCTCATTGTTTACTGTTAGAGGCATGTGGGAATTTGATCAATTGGAACTTTTGTGTACTTGTTTCAATGTCGAAAAAGTGGTGACTTTGAAACAGATGATGATGAACTTGAAGGAAGGTCAGAAAATTTTGGCAATAAGTAACTCAACAAGCAATTTTATTGTGCTTCAATCTAATGGGAATGGTCCAATTGCAAGGGTTGTGGAAGGAGATTTTCTTTATTTTAGTCAAAAATTACTTGGAAACTGTTAAGCGAACTGTTAAGTATTAAGAGAACACTATCATGTTCCTACTTTATTTTATTTGAATTAATGAAAAGACAGCAGCACTGCTGCCATCTCTTGGCAGGCAAGAGAAGCAGAGAGGCTCTAGACAGGAATTCTTACTGCAGCATTCATGTCAACTTAAGACAGAAGATCCAGCTTACTTGACAGAGACCAGTAAATAATTAAGATTAGCACCTTTTTCATAGGAAGAAAATAGAGTAGAAGGCTTTAGCGGCCTAGCAAGGGGTCCTGAAATCTTGGAAGGCAGAAAAGAAGAAGTAGAAAAGAAGTTAATTTTTAGCCACCACTCACCTAATCCAACTTAACTTCAATAGTTTATTATATGTATATCATACAATAAAATTCATGTTAATAAAATTTATTAACATATTAACCCACATTGCAATAGCTTGAGTCTGAATAACTCAAACATTATAATATTGGGTTGGCAATTAAGTCCTTTTGGTTGTTCTATTTATGCTGTTTGTTATATGTCAACAACTATATCTGTTTGTTAACTCTTGTTGGAAGTTAGTATTGTGTTTGCTATTGCACTGTGAATATGGAAGAAAATATCGCTCATTATCGGCATATTTTGTTGTATTATTTTAAAAAAGGTAAGCGTGCTGATGGAGATGATGCCTCAACTGAACGCACCTGTCAAAATTCATCATCATCATCATGTGTGGCACGACATCCCGTTACCGAGACTGGGCCTCCTCCAAGAGCCTCCGCCAGTTGGCTCTGTCTTCTGCTGCAGCTCTCCAGTTCCGTACACCAAGCAGGGTTCTCGCATCATAGGCCACGTTGTCCAGCCATCTCGTTCTCAGCCTTCCTACCCGTCTTACGAGGTGCAGCTCCTCCATCATTATTTTTTTTGGTATTTCAACGGTGCTCATTCTGGCCACATGCCCTGCCCACCTTAGTCTGGCCAGTTTAATATACGTGACTACGTCGATGTCTGTATAGAGAGAACTGAGCTCCCTATTTTTTCTTTTCCTCCAGACATCACCCTCCTTTACTGGACCATAAATCCTTCTGAGGACTCCTCGCTCAAACACACTCAGCTTCATCTCATCGTTTTTGGTCATCGTCCAAGCCTCTGAGCCATATGTCAAAACAGGCCGTACAAGGGTCTTGTATATGATCAGCTTGGTCTTCTTTGAGAGGTACCTACTTCTTAAGTGTCGGCCAAGTCCAAAGACACATCTATTGGCAGCCGTGATCCTTCTTTGTATTTCTTGAGACATGTCATTTTTGCTATTAATTTCAGCCCCAAGGTACATAAAACTTTTCACTCTCTCAAACTTAAAAGAACCTACCTCAAATGGAGAGTTCAGATCCACCTCGCCACCAACTCTCATATACTTAGTTTTCCTCTCGTTGACTTCTAGACCAAGTGGTCTTGCAGCTGCTTCAAGGCCTATAAACGCTTCTCTGAGAGCCCGTTCAGACCTACCTATTATGTCAAAATTGGTTTGCCAAATTTCATTCAGGAAATTTTGACATCAATGATGCTCAACAGTCTGGTTGCTCACATGAAATTGAAACAAGCAATGTTAATGCCATTGTTGAACAAAATCCCACCCAATCAGCGCGAGAGATTACTATGGCCCTAAATGTGTCTCATACAAGCGTATAAAGCTATTTGCACAAGATCGGCTATGTTTCCAGGCTTACTGTTTGGATCTCTCACTCTCTAATAGAAGTCAACTTGGCAACACACATTTCTGTTTGTGATTCATTATGGAAAAGACAACAGAACGACCCATTTTCGAAAAGCTTGGTAACAGGAGATGAAAAATAGATATTTTAGAAGAATGTCAAAACCCGGATTGCATTAAAAGAAGATAATGATAATGCTTTCCACATGGTATGATTTCAAGGTTGTTATTTTCTATGAGATATTGCCATCAGGACAAACAATTGATTCAACTCTACACAATTAACAAAATTGGATCAAACAATTACAAATAAACATCCAGAACTGGCAAATCGGAAGGGTGTGGTGTTCCACCAAGACAAAGCTAGGCACCTCCCCCCCCCCCCACCTCCTTGGTCACTTGAAATAAATTATTGATCCTTGGATGGGACCTTTTGTCCCATCCTCTCTATTCATCAGACCTAGCTCCAAGTGACTAACACTTATTCCGGTCTCTGGGGAACTCCATGAATGGAAAGAAATTCCAAAAGGAAGAGGACATCAAAAACCACTTGGATCAGTTTTTTAACAATAAACTCCAGACATTCTATGATATTATGCAGTTAGTGGAAAGATGGGGAAAAGTCATATTAAATAATGGTCAATATATTGTAGATTAAAATAAATTTTATTTCTATAATACATTGAGTTTTATTTTATCCTGAAAACCGCGAAAGGACTTATTTGCCAACCCAATAGAACTCAAAATATAGCAATCATATTTTACTTATTGCCAATCAAATTCACTTAATTAAACAGTCCATAGCAGCCAAATAAGAATAAGTTCCCTATAGCAGAATTATTATTTCAATATCCCAGACAGCCATAGAAGGGATTGGCAAAATAAATCAAACAGAAACACTCAAATAAAATATATTCTTCTACCATCTTATATTATTCATTCTTCTAATTACTACTTGTTTGGATCAATGACTAATGAGCTCTTTGAGCAGCACTTCAGTTCTTACTAGGAATACAAAAAATGAGTCAACTGTTGGAATGCTATCCCATACCAGTCCTTTGATAGTAGAATTTGTATACTGCTGGAAATGTGAGGGAAAAAAAAATAGTGGATAGCGATGGAAAATACTTTGATTAATCAGTTATAATTTTTACTCAATGAAGTTGTTCTCAACAAAAAATTCTTTAAAATGTATATGTATATTCCCAATGTCTTTTTGAGATTCCAAAATTCTGGGATTATAAATAATTCACTTATTTAATAATTGTTTTGGTACTTTACTTGTATTTACTTATATTTTATTTGAGACTAGAATGGCTGATTGGAAATTTAAAGAAGCCCCATTGTGTATGGTGGTTTCTGAGCTTGATTTCTACTCGATTCAGCCATATGAAATGAAGCTTGCTCAAGTCATTCATGATAGATGACTTTCATGCAACCAACATAGGTTAATCTGATGATACAGTATGAAGGCTACTGTGGACACCATGTTTTGTGTCTACCTGCTATGAAATAGGTTAGTTTGATTCCTTTGAAGAGTTTCATATTGTTTTGATATGGCCCAGTTTTAAGTATATTATATGCTACTTGACCTGAATTTGAATGTGATCATTGTTCGCATTGTTTTTTTTTTCTTCTAAATTTCAATATGATGATTCTTATTTAATATGATCATGTCCAGTTTTCATTCTCTGTTCTAATGTCATCCTTAATATTAATTTAAACACTCTTTGTTAGGACAACTAGTGAACTATTTGTGAAAACTATTATTTTTTTTTTTTAACCAACTTAGTAGAAACCTGCAATAATGGTGACTACACGTGCAGGTATTGCGACCATGGAACACCATCAAGGTGGGTAGTTTTCTAATTCCCTTGATCCCTTTTATAAAAAAGTTATTCTGATAAAACTTTCCCGAGAATAATCATTGAATTAGTAAACAGAGAAAGAGTTTGGAACATAAGCATTCTTTCTTTATTTTAGTGTCCTTAGTTAAAACTAGTCAAGTTCTTAATTTATTCTGGTAAATGAATTACTTTTTTTATTCCCACTTTTAACTTTGTTATTCTTTGGTGTTATAAAAGGCAAATATTAAATTTAATGAACCTGTTATGATGGTGGCCTTTTTAAATTTAGTAGTTGAAATATAATGAACGAGGAGCCATTGGAGATGTTCTCATTAGTTTAAGCTTTATTCACCTCTTCATTCACTAGCAAAATTTTCAAAAAGATAATGATTTTTTTTCAGTTTCCATAAGAAGTCAGGTCCCTATTATTTACTCTCAAAATTCAAAATGAATCATGCCGTATAGATAGTCCAGCCCATTTGAGTATTTAATTTCTTTTTAAAATATTAGATTGGATTGAAAATTCACAATTCATAGCCATTTAGATTTTCTTAGTCCTTTCAATGTTGTTAGTTTACTTATTAAATGTTTAGAAGTTTCTTGTCTTTACTCCTAAATAATATCAGGATCTAGTTATAAAATTGTGCTAAGAACAGATTGTCAAAAAATAAATAATTGTAAAAAATGATTAAACAATATTCTAATCAACATCGTTTATAAGAAAATATTTTTCTGAAACATATTGTGATTTTTTTCCTTGAATTATTTCAGGTGTAAACATTATTGGAATACTATTTTGGACGATGAAAGTGTTTTAGATATCCATAGAAGACTGTGTCGGGTACAACATGAAGATTGTTGGGAATGTAAACGACTGCAAGTATGTATTTCTATAAAAACTTAACGGTTGCTTAGGAATCTCTGAAAACATACCTTGAATATTTTATTATATTGAACACCAAAGTAATTACATAGACATATTTTGTTAGTTTGCTAAATGTTTAGGAAAATTATTACATAATATATTATATTTGGATGTAAGTTTTATTTTGTTCTTCTTTGTCATTAAGATATAAAAAACATCTACTGTCTAAAAATATATATATATTATTTTCTCCTCAATCTTTTACATACCATTGTTCCAGAAGTGGAACATATATTGAACAATTTTTTTGGCTTACTTATTAATCATTATGTTTTTGAAAGAACAATTTTTCCCATCAAACCAAAGGTTGGAATATTTCTTTTTCATTAAAGATTTTATCATTTTTAGTTCGGAAATAAAAAGTTAAAAGTTTCTGATTTTTTAGTGTCGAGAGGTGTATTGATTATATTTTTTTTTGTTTTAATACTACAGCAATGAAATTTAATTTGAATATTAATTTAATTGATTGTGATACATTATTAAAAATAATGCATTGTAGAAAATTTAAATTAAAAATTCTAAGAATCAGTTTTACTAATTTTAATTTTAATGTTCCGCATATGGAACAATGGCAGGTTCACGCTATAGAAATATTAGTTCTATTCATTGTTTTCTACCGTGTTTTCTTAGTACAAAACTGAACACGGAAATTCATAAAACTACTAATTGCTATTCTTAGATTTTCGATTTTTTGTATAATTCCTTACCGATAGAGAAAAACTGCTCTTTTTTCCTTGTCGGGACTGCATCACATTTCTCACTCATATTTGATAATAATTAGGTAATTTATTCGTGACATTTTTTTGTTATAATAATAATTAAAAAAGGAAAAAATATTTTGTACCATGGAAGAAGCAGTGGAATATTTGAATAATCTAAAATCGTTGAGTAATGATGAATCGGTAAATAGTTCTGATGAAGAAATTGATATATGCCAGCTTCCTCCTGACGAAAATGAACATCTAATAGAGGAAGAAGACATTGACAAGAATTGTTTGGAGCAAGTCAGTCCCAAGGATGTTTATAGGCAAGTTGCATTATTTATTAAAAAAATACACTCATGATAATGATACTTCTGACGATCGATCTTCTTCTTCACAAGACAAGCCTTTTTCTTAAATTGATGTAAAATAAATTGGTGTCTTAGGTGGCTATGGCGCTAATGCGGGTTTTACCGCGGCAAGGTCCGAAAACTTCCATTCCTCCCTGCAGGCGCAAGTCAGACATTATATCATTTCGGCTTCCTAAGGAAGGTGTGTTCATTTTGACACCACAAAATATCAATGCAAAGAATGCCAGAAACGCATTCATATTGATTGTTTTCCCCAATATCATGGATTGTAAATCATATATTAGCATAATCAATTTTTTTTTTATTTCGTATTCTTACATTCGTATTTTTTATTATTTTAATAACAGTTTTTTACTATAGTTTTAATATAATATAACAATAATTTTTTATCAATATTAATAAAAACAATACTATTCTTGCATTGAATATTCTAATAAAACTATTAAGTTCTTTGTTTTTGTTTGTATAATCTAAACCTGCCATTGTTCCACTTGGGGAACAAGTTGGAAAAGCACAAAGTAAATTTTTTTTTAAGAACTATCTAAACTAAACTGAACCATATTGAGACCAATATTACAGAAAAAATAAATAAAATTTCTACTGGAATTAGGAGGCGGTGAGTAAAAGGTTAATCATAATCTACCATGGAAAAGAAAATTAATTTAAAACTTCATTGTTTTAAACCAACATTATTACAAAATAAAATAAGCTGTATCTTTCCTAATGATGATCTGATTTTGATGATTATTATATCAAGTTTTCTAGGAAATTTTGTAACCTTTCAGATAATCATGGGTCCATAAAATGATTCTTTTTGAGTTATTCTCAAATAAAGCTTCTTTTCTTTCTAACTTTTTTACTTGAAATTTTGGAACGATGTGCCTATTTTACCCACCTAAAAGAGAAGGAAATCTTCAAAATTATGGCTCAATCATTGGATTTGATGAAGAATTAACGACAATATGGTGTACCAACTAAACACACTTTGAGAAATAATATAAACTCCTCTCTCGTTCATAGGAACCTAGTCGACGACATGAGATGATCCCATGGCAGCACTATTATTGCACACTTTTAATGTGAGCTTTGTCTGCAAATCCTTTACCTTTCATTATCTTCAAATTAGTACATTTTCGGGCTATAAAAAATAATGGACCGGTTGTTCCGAAGGTCTGCGTCAAAATCTTTAAATCCCAACTTGTCCCTTCTCGATCCATCAACACTACTGTTCTGGCATTGAAGCCTAATGAAATGTTCATATTTACTTTATTTATTTTAGAACAAAAAACAAAATTGGAGAGTATGATTCACTAACTCACTGTGAAATCCTGAATCTAATGATACCCCATTCATGTCATTTGAACTTGATAAAAGGTTATATTTGGTAAAAAATCGATTTTTGAGCCTTAGTGTAATAATATATGCAGGGATAGGAGACCCTCGGAAATTTAAAAGATATAACTATAAAAAAAAAATGATAATTTTTATTTTGTTTTTGTTCTTCCTCCTCTTATTAATTTTCCATCTTACCCTTTAAAATTTTTCCATCATAACATAAATCCAATTTTAATGTTGTCAATGCTGTTTAGTGTGGACTGTTGTCCTGTCTTAGGCCACTGATCCAGTTGGGAATCAAACCCACAACTGAGCACTCAGGGACCCTCGACCCAGTATGCTTGGCCATCACATCCTCACAACTTTATGTTTGAGTTGTATATGGCATAACATATAAGGCATATGTATAACTCTATAAAATGACAGAAAAGTTTTTTTCAAAATCAATTCAAATGTTTTTTCATAGAAAGTAGCCATTAAGATGTAGCACATAGAAAACAATTTACTACACGACATTTTATTTATAAAACTAGCGTTATTCTATTTTTTCTCACCAGGAAACTGGATTGGGCATTCTAAGAGAAATAGGTCTTACTGCACAATCTGGTTTGGGCGAAGGAGAGATAACTTATCGCTTGATGGGAATTTCATCATCGAGCCGGATCACAGCTGCTCTCACAATACCACATGTAATTAGGTTAGTTAAGAGCAAAAAATATAAATTGTTTCATTCAGCATTAATAATTATTTTATCATTAAAGATATATCATATTAAGATATAGTTTGCAAAATAATATTTTTCACAAAAAAAAAAAAAAAAAATGTTCTTAATTTGCTACTAAATTCCTTATTAACTATTGCTACAAATCAATTGATGTGGCACTGAAGGAACTTTTTTTTTTTTATAGTTTTATTATTTTCACTTATCTATATATGTAATAATAGTAAGGGAAAGTATTGCAATCATGAAAAATTTCGAATCTGAGTTTTCAACAGAAATAAATGTTTTGAGGTTCCGTGAGTCCAAATAACAAAGTCACACAAAATGGTCTGTGTGTATGTTATCAGTCTAGCTTAAAAACGAAAAGTCGTACGAAAGGGAAATTGCATATTTAAGGTTTGTATATACCTGAGATGTTACAGAAACTTTTTTGTCAAAATCGGCTAACCGGAAGTGACACTTTATATCATCGATGTTACACATTTTTACAATTTTCTCGAAAAACGATTTTGGTTAAACTCTGTGTATCAATGTATACTTAAGTAATCTTTAATACAATTTAAGTCTTATCTCTATTGATGTCACTTAACAGGATTTAATTACCAATGTTGAATGTGTCGTTCTCTAAAGTACCATTAAATTGTTTTATTTGAAGTAATTAACAATCTCTCCATGTTAGGAGTTATGAAAAACGGCTAAATATAAGTTGTGAAAGAATGTGATTATTGAATAAAGGAGGAAAAATAAAAATGCTTATCCAGATTGAAAATGAATCTCAGAAAATAATAGTCAGAAAGTACACGTTTAATATATCGTTAGAAAGTGAAGAATTTTAGAAATAGCGATATCTAATATAGAAAGTTTTAAAAGATAACGGAGAGTCACGAAAAGTTATAAACAATAATTTGTGAAAACTAACATTATTTAACGGAAACCACATATTTTGAAGGAAATTAAATGAAATTTACTAACTAAAAGTAAACTTTTTTTTAAAGTTTGAAAACAGTATTTAAAATCCACCTAATCAAGGCAATGACATTGTTTAAAAAACTGTTTCATCGTATATGTGTGAAAGAAGTGAAATATAAAAATATTTCATAGATGTATAAAGTATATGTTTATAATCTTAAATACATTTACTGTAGTTTACTAATTCTAGATCTAATATTATATTTAAACAATTAGGTATCGGAGTCCGTTTATTACGAAAAACCGTCATGTAAACTTTTAAAAAATTAAATTAGTGAATAATTAGATGAATTTTCTCTTTGTGAAATCCCAGCATTATCCACTTATAATTAATGTGACACATTTTCCTGTCTATGGTGGGAACTAATCCGAGTACAATCCGTAATGATTTATAAGTTGAATATACAGATATACTTACAAATCTCTCTAGGCATATATATATATATATATATATATATATATATATATATATATATATATATATATATATGTTTTTTTAAACTACATAACTCCAGTCTCTGAGCTATATATGTACACACACACACACACACATATATATATATATATATATATATATATATATATATATATATATATATATATATATATATATATATACATATATGTTTTTTTAAACTACATAACTCCAGTCTCTGAGCTATATATGTACACACACACACACACACACATATATATATATATATATATATATATATATATATATATATATATATATATATATATATGACCTAGAGAGATTTGTAAGTATATCTGTATATTCAACTGTATGTATATATATGTACATATATAGCTCAGAGACTGGAGTTAATAGGGTTTTTGTTATAATTAATGATTTGTTAGATATAAGCTTTAAGCTGTAGCTCCGTTAAAAACGCACTTTACAAAATTTATAATAGTTTATAATATTTTTTCAAAGTAGAACGGTAAGTGAAAGTTGTGTATAAGATTTTATTCATTCATCAAAACTACTGATATTCATAATGTAAAAGAATATGAATGAATAAATATTCCCTTTTTTAAATAAAAAATAATAATTTAATACCCTATTTTGCTCATTATCCTCAAATGCAGGTTTTAATTATTTTTTATCTTCCATGCTGTAATATGTGCAAATAAATAAACCTAAAACATGAGGCATTATGTTTTGAACCTAGGTTGAATAATCACTCAAATAATGTAATAAGTCATGGTGTTAGACTAGTTTTAGATAAAACATTTTTATTGATGTTCTATACAAGATTTTATACCCAAGTAGTTTCTAAAATTAGATTATTCTGATTTATTTTTTATTCTATTTTGCAGGCAGCCAAATCTGTTGTATATTTTACTATATACACACAATGCCCTCAAAGTGGTGATGGAAACATTAAGCACAAGGATAGATGAAGCCGTCCCATCACTTCACAGTCTCTTTGCAACATTAGCTATTAATAATCCCCAGCAATCAATTCAGGTATCATTTCTGGTTAAGCTATTGGTTCATCTTGTATCAACAATTACGAGGCAAATTAAGATCATATTTATTATATTAAACAGAAAATTCTTATAATTAAAAGATATTGAAGAAATAAATGATTGTCATTTATTGAAATAAAAAAATGAATTAAAAACGATTTTTCAATTATTTGTTTTTCAGATGTGCAATTCATGTGAAATTGGTAGAATTCGCAAAGAAGGAAATGTGCTATTCACATTAGATGATGGTTCTACAGTTTCTGCCAATAAAGAGTCACTTAGCCATTCATGCCCTGTTTTTGAGGCTATGTTCCGCGGTGGATTTAAGGAATCATTGCAAAGTAGTGTCCGACTCTCTGATATTTCTGCAGATTGTCTCTCTCATCTGACGAAGGTAATAATTATTTGCAATAATTGCTCCTATTTTAGAATTGACCAGATAGGTCAAACATCACACTAATTGTAAGTGGATACTGTCATAGATAAATAATATATTTATTGGCTTAAATATAATGTAGCCATGGAAGTCTGGCCCAGTTGGTGTTAGTTAAGGTTATCAATGTTACCAACTATGTATGTATTCAACAGGATACACAATTAAACATTATACAAACTTACAAATAATAATAATAAAGCAATAATAATCGTATAATTTTCAAATATTAAGTTGATATTTTTTTTATTATTTGGGTTTTATATAACTTAAGTTGATATTTAATATTTAAATATTTTTTGTATTAAACAATTGTTTAAATTTCCAAAACTAATCCCGACCGTGTATATAATACTAAGGGCCGTTATCCAATATTGTCAAAAACAATATTAGTATTGTCAAAAACATACCCAACGAAATAATTGCTAATTCGGATAGTGATTACTGCAGATTCTTAATTGACTTACAGTCCTTATTTTTCATATGCTGGCTGACATTGAATTTTAAGGAATTTTCTGGTTCAGGTAATGAGTAGCTGCAAATACTTCTATAAAGAGGTTTATAATTGGAATTAAAAACATATTCAATATCTACAGAATAAAGGTGGTTTGATACTCTTTCCAAAATAATGCTTCTATTGATAATTAATGTTTGTGGGTCAGAAAAATTGTTGAATAATTCCCCCTCAAAAAATGAGAAATGGCTACACTACCATATGCAGATTTGAAGTCCAGGAGAAGGTGATAGGTAACTATTTTGTACTCCTTTGCTTTCTCGAGGACCATTCTCAAGGAGAAAATCTGATCTCTGGTTAATCTACCCCTCTTGAAACCAGCCTGGTACCTACCTACCTCCCTTTGAGTGTGGGGAACAAGTCTCTCAAAAAAGATATTTGTTAACACTTTGTAGGCACTTGAGAAAAGAACAGTGCCTCAATAATTGTTTCTCTCCATCTGGTCACATTTCTTGTGAAGTGAACATATGACACTTTGTCTCCAAGTATCAGGTGTTCTTTCCTCCTCCTACACTGTAAGGATGAGATTGTGAAGTTTCTTCAAGAATCCTTCGCTTCCATTACACAACAACGATTACCATCTGTATACCATCCACTCTCAGTGACTTTGTTTCTCTTAAACTTCAAGATGGGTGCCTCCACTTATTCATCCGGTGGCTCCTAGCCATCTACATCTTGAAGTGTTCCCGCCATCTCTCCAGGATATCCTGTTTTTCTGTCCGTAGGTATGTTCAGAATTTAAGATCAACATATATCCAACCAGTTGTTCACAAAGCCTCCCTTCAGAGCAAAGAGGCTCAGAAGATCAAATTTGAATTGTACTGGTGATGTGGTAAATGATGCTAATAAGATCCTCTGGATCAGCGATTGGAAGGTTATCACACAAGACTGAGACCATTGGCAAAAGCTGGTGGAGAAGAGCAAGACTCAACACCTGGTTCTGCTGGAATGCAGGAAACTTAGCATTTCCATTTAATTAAAAGTACCCACTTTAAAGGGGTTGGACCTTCTTAGGAGGGTCTTCCAACCTTAAGCTGGATCCACAGCAGATAAATATAATGTAAAAGATAAATATAATAAAATAAGTAATTACTCACTGGACCTAAAATAAGTAATTAGGCTACGACCTGGGACCGGAAGCATTGGAGTACAGCGCCTTTAATTTGAGTAATCAGAATGGTTGATAAAAATCTATAACTGAAAAAATAGTTGTGGTGAAAGATAAATTTTAATTTGACCAATAATTTCTGAGGGTAATTAGAAAGTAGACTGTTAGGTAAATCTTGTTCAGTATTCAGTTTAAAAATAAAACTATTACATTTAACTTACAGCAATTTATATATTATTTGCTCAATTATGTATTACTACATTATAAAATTATTAATTCCGCAACTAATTGCAGGTATTACATGAATACTGTTCATGTGCTCTTCCAAAAGATTTGTCTGTTTTATTAGAGATGATATCAGTTTCAGACAGGTGAGATTTACTTTTATTAAAATTATTAATTACTGTAATCATTGATTATCAAATAAATTATCAATTATAAGTATAATTAGGTGAAATTTTTTTAAACTTTTATTATGATATTTACAACTGTATTAGTATGAATACATCAAGTAAATGTGTACAGAGGAATATTATCACATGAAATAAGCTTGTTGAGAAACTACCCATTGGTAGCACTCTTTTTTTAATTTTTAAATTTTTAATTTTTAAATTTTTAATTTTTGAAATTTTTAAAAATATAAAATCCATATTTCTTATGGATTCATATTCTAAAAAACAAACATTAAATATACCATTTTCAACTTCAACCGTTCATAAATTATGTAAGTTTTCTGACTAAAAAGATAACATTAATTAACCTTGACTGAGAAATATAAGATTTTAGTTTCAAACAAATTGTAAAAGATTTATGAGACAAAATGATCGGATAAAAGAAAGTAGATATTTAAAATTTAAAAATAACTTGTGATTTTGTAAGTTTTCATTAGTAATTAATTCTTCTGAAATTACTTTGCTACTTGTTATCTAGATTTCTGCTGCCGGATCTGACTGTAAAAGTCCTTTCTGTTGTGAGAGATAATGCTCTAAGCCATGCCACTGCAAACCAAATCTATGACTGGGGCTTGAATATCGGTCAACAGTTTGAAGTTTCAGCCAACCTTTCTGAAGATGTTGTCAAGTATATGTTTACTGGTGATATGCTTCCTTCACAGAGGGTTTCTGCTGTTTCTCGGATTTTAGAATCTGACAACAAAGATAGATTTCTTGAGGACTTACGATTACTTATCAAAAGTGGAATTGTAGCTTATACTAAAACTCATAGATTTCCTAATTACAAATCATAGTTTAAATTGGGACTTACGAGGAATTGACAAATGTAATTTATTTCTGATTTGAAAAAATTGTATTGTTTCTCATTTGGTATTTGAATCTTGTGAAAAACGGTAATATTGTGTGGGCATTTTTTCGTTTTTGTGATATTTATTATTCAGAAATCATTTTCTGTATAAGTACATAAGTTATCTGTGATGGTTTTTATTACTTGATGCCGAGAATCGTGTCTGATTTTCTTTACTTCTTTGGTGTGTACACTATGACATTGATTAACAAAATATAATCAACTTTTTAAAATATTATTAATGAAATTTTATGGAATATATATTCAGCTACTTCAATTGATTAACACTTATAGCTTATGGAATGATCATAGTGTGCTATATTCAATAATCTTTTCTAATTTATTGGAATATAGGTCAATATTATCTATAATTCTAGAGATAAATCTAGGCTGTTAGATATAACACAATTGTACATAAACAATAAAAAAGTTCAGAATTAGTCTTAGGTCGTTTCTTCTATTGGTGTAAATAATTGAATTTATAATAGATTATGTAATAAAATTTTAAAATATTCTATTTCTATTGTTTTTGTCTAATTTTGAAAATTTATTTTACTATTTAGTACTATAATGTATCAGCATTAAATGTTTCATGTAATATAGCAATAATTTATGTAATATTATCTATAAATGTGGTTATGAATATAATGTTTAATTTATGAATTTTGGCATGTCATGTTAATTTTTTAATTATTATCAAAGTTTTTTTTCCTGAATACCATTTTTAGGTAGTTTTAAATCCAAATTTTATTTAAATATATATTTTTAATGTTGGAAGATCATGTAAATGCACCAGTACCATTTTTCATGTCTTTTAATTTTTATTTGGCTGCCATTTGTAGAAATAAGTTCTAGCTGGCTCTAGGATCTATCTGTTTCTGCTCTCATCTTCCAGTCAAGTATTTAAAGAATATGGTATTGTTAAATTCCTTGTGATCATATGGTCTGTATATTAGTTAAGTCAGTATGCTGTGTTTATTTTATCTATCGGATTAGTGCAACAATTTAATGAAGATGTTTTTAGGTATTCTCCTTCTCCAGATCTAGTTCAACAGCTTTCCATTTGCTATTACATCCTTCTTAACTATAGGAAATAGAACTGATAAATTGAAAGCTATATGTGGTCATCAATCGACTGAAACTAAACATACATACATACATCAGTAGGGTGACACCCCGTTACCGAGACTGGGCCTCCTCCAAAAGTCTCCGTCATTTTTTATGGTCATTGGCTGCAGCTCTCCAATTTCGGACTCTAAGAACAGCCTGCACATCCACAGAGACCGAGTCCATCTATCGCACATTTGGTATTCCAAATCGCAGTTTCCCGTAGAGCTCTTCACTAATGATCATTTTTGGAATCTCGTTGGCAGCCATCTTTTGCACATATCCTGCCCATCAAATTCTTCTGAGCTTCATGAACTTGACTATGTCAACATAGTCCGCCTTCGTGAACGCCCAAGCCTCTGAGCCATAAGTGATAACTGGAATGATGGAATTCCTTTTTGCTATAGAATCTGCTTTTTTTTTTTTTCTTTTTTATGGAAAATATAGTAATGACTTCATTTGTAATGTAAGATATTATTATTTTCATAAATACTGCATACATTAAAGGGTCTTATAGAGCTTGATCTTGGTGTGGTTAGAGAGCATTCTACTACTAAATTGTTTGGCAAGGCCAAGTAGCAATGGTTAGCTATTGCTATCCTCCTGTTTACTTCCTGGATAATGTCATTTTGGGAGTTAATTTCCAAACCCAAATAGGTGAAGCTGCTTATCTTCTGAAAACGGTTCTCTCCTGCATCAAAATATCCAACTCCTGGTTCGGCTCTTCCAATCCACATGTATTTTTTCTTCTTGGCCTCATTAACAACTAGGCCAAGATTTCTAGAAGCATCTTCCAGAGCCAGGAACAATTCTCATAGGGCCCATTCCGATCTGGTAGCAATAACAAAATCACCCGCTTATTCCAGAAGCTGAACTGTGATATTAAATAGTGTTGATCAGAGTTGGATTCCAGAATTCCTAACCGCTTTCTCCCCTACAAAATTAATGAGGCAGGCCTAAAGCCTCTCCCTTTCTAACACTACAATTTGTCAAAAAGGGGTAAGAAAGATCAACACCCATACGCACCATACACTTTGAACTCGCCATTGTCCTCTTAACCAGGCTCACTAATTTCATCAGAACGTTCATTTGTTTTAGGGCTTGGTAAAGTTCCGGTTGACCTACGTTTTCATTTACGGATTTGTGCATTCATCCATGTCCACATCTTATTATGATACCCTCTCTTCTCTTTGTAATAACTGTTTGGTATATCAGTTGCACAGTTTTCCATAAGTCTCATTTTTGACCCTTTTAACTGCCAGCCATTCGTTGATGTGAGTTACAAAAGTTCAAAAACCATTTTAAACTTGGATTCTAAAATTTTTGAACCTGTGACATGACTTACTTAGGAACAGGAAGCATACTTGTCATCAATTTCATTATCAGAGCTTAATCATTTAATCAATGATTGTTTTAGATAGTCTTAGCTAAAACGGAAACAAAAACAGCTTAACTTAAAAAGTTGAGGTCATGATGGCGTTGCCTGTTTTAGCATTCTCATGTCTAGCGATGCCAGTTCGAATCCAGTGTGGGGAGAGGGGGAAGAGCTTAACAAAGTCTCAAAACAGTCTTGTTAGATTTTTTAAACAATCCTATGACCATCTGGAGTTGTCTCCCTTTTCTTAACAAAGAATGCTTAAATTTATTACCATAATATAAATTTTAGTTGGCCCAGATACATGTTGAATCAATCTAGTTTTGAACTGAACACGAGTTCAAAGACAATTTTTTTAAAGAATTAAAGTTGATTGTGACTAGGTTTAGAGTTACTATTTTATTTAAAAAAATATATTTTAACATTGTGGTCATTTCCAAATTCTTAGAATGACTATACTTAGTAAATTAAAAAAAAAAAAGAATAGCAAGATCAATAATGAAGTTATTTTTCAGACATGAATTTGTTTTTGCTATAGTATCTGCTTTTTATTTTATTTTTTTTATGGATAAAATAGTAACGACTTCATTTGTAACGCAAGATATTAATATTTTCATAAATACTGCATAGATTAAATATGAGCCTGCATATTAACGAATTGTAGAAAGGGTTTAAACAACAACATAAAATTGAGTTTATATGTTATGTTTTTCTTGTCCCTGTTTTAATTTTTCATGTGTTAAAAGTCATTTAAGAGGGGTAGATTTAATTTAATTCGATATTAGATTATGTAAGTAAATATATAAGAAATTATCATGTATCAAGTAATGCTGTGTTGCCAAGTTAACTACAAAATAAAAGTTGTGTGCAGAGCAGAGATCAAGTTATTGCTATGAACATCACTGTAATGAAGAGTATCATTAAGAAACTTTTATTTTTTAATTTGTTATGTCCCTAACTGAAATATCTTATTTTAAAACAATGTCCTTTATCTTACTAAATATGTTTTTATTTATGTGTTTTTTTTTAAACTCATGTTAACTTTTTTTTAAATTAATTTAAAATACAATGAAGAGCATAATAAATCTATGATAGTCATTGAATAGTCAGGTTAATGCATATTTAAGTTTTATTATATTGATTTCCTAATTCTAATCTAGCATAATGATTTGCATATTATGTTTAATATGTTGAGTACATGAAGTATATCTTATCAAATGAGGTGAGGAGTACTTGTTATATTATGGCAGAGGGTGATATGATGTAGTTCTAAGAACATTCCATTAGCTGGAATAATGGATGCAGTATTTGTTTATAGTTCAATTAATAACTGTTAAATAATAAAATCATTGTTTAAATTGTAAAAATTACTCAGTATTTTAATTTTTATTGAATTCAACCCTAATTTCCTCATTATTTTTCAGAGATTTGAAATTTTCACCATTTTTTGGCTCACCTACAATGCACATATTTTATTTGGTTATTCCATGTTTAGTTTTTCTTTGTTAAAATTAAACATAATATATAACATATACATTCTTAAGGGACCTAGTCCCAGAATAAAGAAGATTTTCTATTCTATTCTATTATTTTTTAAACTTTTGACTGTCCGAAAATTGATTCTGTAAGCGTTATTTTATAAAAATTAAAATGTGTAATTTTATTTTTCTAAAAATTTACACAACATAAACCAAATAAGGCTCTGTCATATAACATGGTATCTGAATTGTTTTGAGTTGAAGTTTTTGGCAATACCAGATTGTTTATGAATGATTTAATGTGTCATTCATAGAAACTATAGGAAATTTGTTTCATTCCTTAATAGCAATGTTTGTATTAAGATAATGATAGGGCCTATAGGTCAAAGCATTGTAGCTTACAACTTAGCATAGATATAATTTTGTGTACTACGCGGTCATACCATAGTATCAAATTTTGTTGGATATCATGTTTTGAAAGATTTAACAATTATTGAGTTACTCAAGTTAAATGTCTGCATTCCATGTACAGTGAGGTAAGAGATCTCGAAGGTCATCCCAAAAATTCACTATAATAGAACTACCATAAATTATTAAAATGCAATAGTTATTGGAAAAGTAGTATACCATTTCAAAAACAGTGAACATGTTTAAGAGATTAAAGATTAATAAGGATGAGATGTTTTAATAATTATAAAAACATCATCTAATAGCAAATTTATCGGAACATATACGGAATAATTGAAGAGTATAACATTGAGAAACATGATTGAGAGAACCTTAGATTTTTTTTCCTTTAAACAAAATTTTATGCAAATTAATCAGTTAACTAAAGTTACTAATAATTTCTTGGTGAAGAAATGATTGTAATTAATTTTAATAAATCATGTACTAATATTTAATTACTTGAACACTAATTTGTCGGGAACCTACCGACAAAATTCCTCACAACGTAGACCACGGGCGGATCTACGGGGGGGGGCTTTCGGGCTGAAGCCCCCCCCCCAAAATGGTAAAATATAGCCATGTTTTATCGAAAAAAATATTAAAAAAGTATCTCTTAAAGTATTATTGTTTGTTTAATTACATTTAAAGGGGCCTTAGGAATCACTTAAACACCATTTCATACAGGTAGTTAGTTTCTTTCATCTTTTCCAAAGTAATTATCGTTATTTTTATGAAAAAAAGCGCTTTCGGGCTGAAGCCCCCCCCCCAAAAACTAAATCCTGGATCCGCTAGTGACGTAGACAGATGAACATGCATCTTATCACCCGATGTCTTTTTGCTAATGCTAAATAGTTGTTGGTGTCTTGCCCAAACTCATTTTTTTGTTGCATCATCTTCATTAAACATTGTCGATAGTTGATTGCTGACAATTAACGTTGAAAAGTTGGAACAATATGATAATTAAAAACGAAACAGTTCTGGAGCGAAGCCAACAACGTAATGGCTCGTTTATTGGAAATGAAATTAAAGACTAGAAAATCATGATGGTGGGGGAGAAAAATATATAGGTGGAGGGATTAGCGATGGTACTTTTTGAAACTGTTAATTGAAGATTTGCCGGAAATTAACATAGGACAGGAAGCGCACGATGGTGGGGTGGGGATAACACACGGGAGTAGGTAATAGCGGGAATTTCAAAAAGTAGAGATAAGGGGAATAGAAAGTTCTCGGAATTTGAGCTTTTTCGATCTGGAGAACAGCAAACTTTGTCTATTTAATCAGGTACTAAAAACCCACAAATACTCTTATGTCTTCCACTTGAATAATAAGATAATAAGGACCGTTTGGCGTGACCTACACCCCACTAGCGGATCCAGGATTTAATTTTGGGGGGGCTTCAGCCCAGAAGCTTTTTTTTCATGAAAATTACGATAATTACTTTGGAAAAACAGAAAGAAACTAACTACCTATATGAAATGGTGTTTAAGTGATTCATTAAGTTCTTTTAAATGTAATTACACGAACAATAAGACTTTAAGAGGTATTTTTAAACATTTTTTTTCTATTAAACATGGTCATGTTTTACCATTTTGGGGGGGCTTCAGCCCGAAAGCCCCCCCCCGTAGATCCGCCCGTGCTACACCCCCAACATTTTAAAATAACGAGGTTAAATTGGTCAAACGGCACACTATTTTTGTAGGTCACCTTTTTTCTCCGTTTTGTGATCAAATTATCTTGCAATCCAAGTGGAAAACAAAGGAATATTTACGAGTTTTTACTAGGTTGTAAAAACTCGTAAATACTCCTTTGTTTTAAGTAGTAGGTACTTAAATAGACAACGTTTGCCTATCTCCATGGATTGAAAATTCCCTAATTCCAAGAGTTTTCGTAAATAAAATATTTGTAGGTCACTATGGGATGAAGTTATTCACTAAGTTTCAGGCGGATGTTAATAATTTGATAAAATAGGATCTGTACCACGGACTATAAAGATTTAAATGAATAGATAACTCTAATATATAAATAACTGACATGCACTATTATGCAGTAAAACCTAGTTACTAAATTTGTATCACTATGTTTGTTGTTTTAAAGAGCTTATTTGTTTTTTATATTATTTATGAGGTATTGTTAAATGACCAGAAAAATAAAATAAAAAATATCACAATCAGTCAAGGATTTATGATGGATAAGTAAATAAATTGATTGCGAGAACTTATATTTATGGATTACAGTCAACTTCGCTTAATTAATGTGTTTTAGATGTTTTTAATGAAATAATAAAGTTTTCGTTGGACTAGCAATAACTTATGTTACGCGAACTAATTATTCAGTTGATTAGAGCAGCCAACGGGCTGCTTGTACGTGGCGTTCTAGTACGGTGTTATTTGGTTCAAAATATTGACACGTGTTGACTTTTAGTGGACAGTGCTGTGACAGGTTTTTTATATTTCAACTTACTTGGACATTATTTATCCTGTAATTTATTTGATTCATCATCAACATGTTTAGCCCAAAGTTTGTGTACGTTGTGGCTGGAATATTTACAATTTATTTCTTTTTTGCTACAATGCAAGAAAAACTTTTAAAAGGTGTTTATGGTGATGGGGACAAATTTGTTTTCGTTATGACCTTATTGTTCGTTAATGCTATGGTGTGTTATCCTTATACATTATTTATAAGAGCCATTGACCCCTATACAGTTGAAAAACCTATATCAACATTATGTTTTTGTGCATTAGCCTTACTTCAAATCCTAGCTATGTCTTCATCTTTCATGGCCCTCCAGTGGGTTTCTTATCCTGCTCAAGTATTAGCCAAGTCCAGTAAACCCATACCAGTTATGTTAACTGCAGTTATTTCGGGTCAAAAGAGTTACCCTTTGCGCAAGTATATTATTGTATTTTTGATAGTTTTTGGTGTAGGTACATTTTTCTACAACAGTGAAAAAGCAGCTGCTTCAAACAGTAGTTTGGGAATCGGTGAGTTACTATTGGCCTTGTCTTTACTTATGGATGGTATTTTGAATTCATTGCAAGAAAAACTTATGTTTAAACACAAGCCAAATTCAAATTATTTAATGATGGAAACCAATAAATGGGTCATATTGATGACATTTGCTATTATTGTACTCTCTGGAGAAGGTGTAGAATGTGTTAAATTTGTTCAGAAATATCCT